GCTGCTTTAAGGCTTCTTTATACTGCCCCAGCAACATAAAGGGAATGTGAATCAGACCCTACAAAGCTGCAGCCTTGTGGAGAATTTCTGAGAGTAAATCCCCGCCCCACCCTCCTAATTGGAGGGCCTAGCGGTTAAGGTGCTGGACTAGGACTCAGACCGGGGGTCTCTTTAATTCTCATCTTCCTGGGTGAAAGCAGGTTCGATTCTGTTGCCTTGCAGTGGGTTGTACATTGCTACATCAGATAGCATTTTACACTCATTCTGTCCAGGTGCAAGAGGACTCTGCGAAGATCAGGGCAACAGAGATTGAAGGCCAGGCACTCTGGGTATGTATACACAAGCCTCCCAGCCCAGGTCAGCCGGCTGGGGATAGCGCTCTAAAAACAGGTTTCAGAGGAGCAGCCGTGTTAGTCTGTATTCGCAAAAAGAAAAGGAGGACTTGTGGCACCTTAGAGACTAACCAATTTATTTGAGCATAAGCTTTCGTGAGCTACAGCTCACTTCATCGGATGCATCCACTGAATGTATCCAATGAAGTGAGCTGTAGCTCACGAAAGCTTATGCTCTAAAAACAGCTGTGCCAGCAGCTCAGGGTGGGCTCAGGCTGTGAAGCCCAGGGAGCAGAGGGGGCTTCAGACCCTGGGCTCCATAAACTAGCTAGGGGCTGTGTAAATATAGCTCGGCTCCCCATCTGCATACTGGACGTGGACAAAAGTTGGGAGAAAGGGATGGTTTATCTTGCCTGTTTAGACTGAGGCCATGTCTACACTACAGCCTTCTGCTGTGGTAGCAATGTCGATTTCTGATCAACACGGCCGATCCAGTTACGCTGGCAAAACCATGCTTTTAGCGGGATAGCTTGTTTCGCTCAGCGGTGAGGTGGAATAAGCGATATTGCTAATTGTGCAGGTTTGCTAGAATCGGCTGCGTCCACAATAGGAACTCTTTGGCAGTATAGTGTACTGGCATAGCTATACCTTAGTGCAGACCTGGCCAAAGCTCTATGGGTCAGGGATTGTCTCTGACCATATGTATGTACAGCTCCTGGCACAAAGGACTTTCAGATCTCCTAAATTTAGAGCTGGCTCTTTCTTCACATGGCGTATAAATCTGACAACTGTGGGGGTTATGAAACAGCCAGTCGAGATGATAATGGATGAAGTACACCTGAGACTTCTTTCCTACTAGCTAACCTAAATCTCCTTTACTGCAGATTAAGCCCATTACTTCTTGTCCTACCTTCAGTAGACACGGAGATCAGATATGATCAGAGTGGTCAACTGAAGACTGATCCCCTCCCCTCAGTCTTCTATTCTCAGGTCTAAACATGCCAAGGTTTTTCAGTCTTTCCTCATAGGTCAGGTTTTCTAAACCTTTGATCATTTGTGTTGCTGTCCTCTGGATTCTCTCCAATCTGTCCATGTCTTTCCTGGAGTGCAGCGCCCAGGACAGGACACAGGACTCCAGTAGAGGCCTACCCAGTGCTGAGCAGAGTGGGACAATTACCTCCCATGTCTTATATACAACACTCCTGTTAATACACCCCAGAATGATATTAGTCTTTTTTGAAACTCCACCACTACATTCTTGGTGCCTATGCACTTTGACCTACCCTAACTCCTAGTCCTTTTAAAACTATAGACGATTTAATAACCCCTCACTACTTAGCTTCTGCAAAATCATTATGCCATGGGGGGGGGGGGGAGGTTAATTGGTATAAAACTACTTTATAAAACTAATGCCAACTCACTGTCCTGGAGTCATACTCATTCAACAAGATCGAAGCCGAAATGTATTTTAAAAGGCAATATTATCTTAGGCCACTAGGTGTCACGGAAAAAAAGAATGAGGAGGACTTGTGGCACCTTCGAGACTAACAAATTTATTTGGGCATAAGCTTCCGTGGGCTAAAGCCCACTTCATCAGATGCATGCAGTGGAAAATACAGTAGGAAATACAGTGGGGCTTGAAAGTTCCTACTGTGTTTTCCACTGCATACATCTGATGAAGTGGGCCTTAGCCCCCGAAAGCTTATGCCCAAATAAATTTGTTAGTGTCGAAGGTGCCACAAGTCCTCCTCGTTCTTTTTGCTGATACAGACTAACACAGCTGCTACTCGGATAGGTTTTATTGTGTCAGCAAAGGAGAAAAAGGAGTTCATCACTGAAGCTGGACTTTTAGCTAAATTTTCTGCAGCTGCTAAAGCAATTGTCCTTCATTACTATGAATGCCAAACTCAGGGAATTTCTCTTGCCTTTTGAAGGCTGCACCCTTATACATGCTGGGACAGAGCCTCAACTGGTGCAAGTCAGCCTAGCTCCATTGCCAATTTGCATCAGATGAGGATCTGGCCATCAGTATGGAAAATGCCAGCATCCTAAGTTATGTATCTATTATCTAGTCTAAGATCTGTTGGGAAGAGACCTGCCAGTTTTAACACATGGCATTAACACAAGGCTTTTCATCCACAGATCTCAAATTGCTTTATACAGGTGGATAAATGGTTATCTATATAATGAACTAGGTATTATTATATTATCCCTGTTTTACACAGAGGGAAACTGGAACATCCAAGCTCACTCAGCAGGTCCATGGCAGAGCTGTGGATAGAACCCCAGTCTCCTGGCTCCCAGGGCACTGAATCACACTGCCTTAGCTACAGTGATGTCGTCACTGCAGACTCAGGTTACGCCTCTCGAGCTAGCCTCGCTCCAGTGTGGCTGCTCACACTTAAGTTGCACAAAGCCACTGTGGTAGCCGACAAGCCGTGCTAACTCAAGCGACAGCTGCTGAGCCAGCCAAGCTGAGTTAAAGGGGGTGAGTGCGTGTGTGTGGACGGAATTTGAGCTAGGGACAAAACTCAAGTTCCCTCTGCAGTGAGGACGAGCCCCGTGAAGCGTCCCGCCCACCCGTGACGCCATCTTATAAACACAAGTAATTTCAAGCATTCACGGGCTTGTTCTGTTGCCTGACTATACCAGGCGCTTGTAAGCGTTCTCAGAACATGCCTTGGAATAGGCAGTGCGGTGTTACTGGTACTAGGGTGGCAAGTTTCATTAGTGTCTTAATAGGGTTCTAAAAGTTATTTAGAAGAAAAATTCAGAGTCAATAAGGCTGTAAGAAAGAGAGGGGCTTTGTAGTACCGGCATCAGCAAGCCTCGCCCCTGCTCCCACAAACACATGCTCAGCTTCAAGCACCGACTCATGCTAGTGGCACGTTTGATTGAAAACTCTTGGGGGCAGGGGCTGTCTGTGTTCTGTGTTTTGACAGCGCCTAGCACCACGGAGTGCTGGGCCACGGCTGGGGTGCGTAGATGTTCCCCCCTCCCCCCGGTTCAAATCCATAACAGCGCTCGTACTTAAACACGTGCGTGAGCATCTCGCAAGACCGAGGTCCTGGTTTGTACTTCCCATCCCCTTGGGATTATTCATTCTAGAGTCGCCTGTCAGATGTTAACCACTCGCTTTTACCCTCCTTCCTATCCTTCAAAGATGGAGAATGATTTCCCCCACCCCTCTATTCCTTCCATTTGCCAGACCACCCAGAGAACATGAAGATTTAAACCAAAAAACAAAACAAAAAAACCAACCAATCACACCATCACGGTCTTCCCTAATTTTGACATGCCCATGCCCCCCTCCCCTAAACTTTATGACAGATTGCAATGGGTGAGCCAGTCTGGCCAGGGCCCCAGGGTGAGCTGAGCTATTTTGATCCATTTTTCCCCATTGGAACCCCTTGGAGGCTTTTAAATGAAGTTAGTTGCCTTAATTAGGTTTCAGCTTCTCTATATTGCACACTGGTTTATTATTGTAGGGCTGCCAATGGCTCCCAGGCAGCCCACACACTGTGTTTATTATTGTAGGGTGGCTAACACTGGTGTGTTTATGGGATTTTTCTTCTTCTATGGGCAGTCTAATTCTGACTGAGAAAACAGAGGTAGCCAGGGTTTTTTTGCTGGGGTAGGGGAAAATAATTACAATAAATGTATTTAAAAAAAAAAAAATGTAAAAGACCAGGTCTGCAGCCTACAAACCTTCAGTGTCCTTAAACAGCCACCAGCAGAGTGACCCGAGAGAACTAAACTCAGAACTCAAACATCTAAAAATACTAGTTTAAAAAAAAGGGTTAAATATACATTAAAAAGCCAGAGACTGGTAACTTCCCCCCCCCCACACACACACAGGTACCACGCCTTGTGATGAGTGATCCGATACCAGCTATTCAGCTAGCCCTGACCCTGATTTGCTGCTGTTCAGCAGAGACCCTGCATGGGAAAGGACCCAGGCGTGGTATGTGGGTTATTTGCACGCATCGGTGCAGACCAAGAATTCTCACACCAGCTCTCTCACTGGTGTCACCCACGGTGGGGGTGGGGTGTGAAAAAATTTCCAACCTCACGCTCCTGTGGCTGAGAAGGGATGAGCCAGAGCTCAGCAACTGGATGCTTAAAAAGTCTCAGCCTAGTTTAAAAAAAAAAAAAAAAAAAAACACGCAAAATAAAACCAACTATCGCCTTGTTCATAGGAAGTGGGCGGCAGCTCTGAGTAATAGTGTTTCCTATCTAGTCAAAGCAGCAGCATGGATAAGGCACCAAGGAATCAGAACCTGGGGCACCGGCTCGATTGCCGCAAAGGGCCTGCAGATCAGGCATAAGCCCCCCAGCTGCAGGGGGGCAGGCAGATGGGGCAGACATGCACACCAATCATCCTAGACCACTGCAAAGCCCCCTAGGGACCATTGCAACAAAAAGGGAAACTGTAAGGGGTGCTCTACCCTATGCCAGGGCATGCGCCAGCCCCTGAATAGCCCCCCCACCCCCGCGTGTATGCTGGGATCTAGATTTAACCCCCAAGGCAACAAGATGCAGCTTGAGTGTACCAGTTCTGGGCAGGAGAGAATTAACAGCAATGCCTCTAGTGCTGTAGTTTTCCCCTCTCCTTGGCAAGGTACCATTCAGAAGCCGGATTCTGGCCCCGAAGTCTCTTTGGCAGGTTCCCTCCCCCTCCCCCCTCATCCCATTCCCCCCCCAGCTACTTCCTGAAGAACTTCTTGTTGAGGAGAAAAATGAGCAGGTTGACGTTGACTTTGGCCTTGTCGAACAGCTTCATGACGGCCACACCTTCGTACTGCAGCTGCAGCAGGTCCTGGGAGGGAGAAAGCGCCACTGGGGACAGGTCTTTGGTAGCACCCGAGCCAACGCCCCTGGTAGTCAAGGGAGAATCTTTCCCTCGACTTCCAGCTCTGGAGCCTGCCCTCAGCTCCTTCCGAGCGAGAGCTGCTGCTGGCGCATCATGCTGGGATTCTATTGCCAGAGGCATCCCAAATTCCCTGAGCACCGGATGAACGTTCAGTCTCCCAACACCCCCGCCAGTGGTAGGGATTATCCCCCGTTTTACAGATGGGGAAACTGAGGCAGGGGGGAAGCAACATACACAGCAAGTCAGTGACAAAGCTGGGAATATGGAATCCAGGAGTCCTGCCCCACCCCGCTCAAACCACTAGATCACACTCCCTTCCAGAGCTGGGAATATAGAACCCAGGAATCTTATCAACCAATTCCCTACTCCAAACACTCTTCCTCCACAGAGGTGTTTACTCTAGTAGAAATTAAGGATTCTAGGTAGATATCTTATCAGCCTCACCATCCAGAACACCCCTGGCTGTGCTCCCACTAGGGAGGTTAAAGCTAACTGGTTGCTGGGTTTACATTCCTGGGGATACTGAGGCCCAGTGGAGAAGGTACTTCCCTTAGATTATGGAGCAAGCTGGCTGCGCTGTCAAGAAAAGAACCTAGGGAGATTTCAGGTCTCCTGCTCCAAGCACCAGACTGCTCTCCCCTATCAGGAGCCAAACCCTAGCTTCTGTTCCTGGCTCGGGAAGGGAGTGCGGTCTAGTGGGTAGAGCACGTGGCCTAAGCCAGGACTCCTGGGTTCTATCTAGTCCCCTGCTCCAACCAACCATTACATAGACTCCTAAGGGTTAATGTCATGCATGCCTCTTGGATGCCAAGAGTTAAATGTAGCTGTGTCACCTCATTGGTGCACTGACTCCACCTCCCTTCGTCCGGGCTGCTGTAGGCTCCGCACCGAAGCATCCCCACCCGCGAAGGAGCCAGGGCTGCTTCCCTACCTGATAGTGAAGCTGGAACTTCTCCATGTCGATCCCCATAAATCTGGCCTTCACCTGGAACTTGCCGGCTTCCCCGCACGGAACGATGTCGAAAATCACATTCCGGAACCTGGAAGGGGAGAGCATCAAACGAGGGCAACGGAAAGGCCGAGATCAGCCGCGTTAGGATGCCTGGGTTCTAGTCCTGTTCTGGAAGAGCAGTGTTGCCTAATGGTTACAGCGGGGGGGGGGGGGGAGGGAGGGGTTGGGAATCAGGACGCCTGGGTTCTAGTCCCACCCTCTGCCGCTGCTCAGCTCTGTAGCCTTCACTCTGTCTGCTTCCTGTTGTACAGTAGGCGATTCTCTGCTTCACAAGGAGTATATTCCAACCACCAGACTCGGAGGAAGAAAGCACCTGAGATTCTCCCAATTGCTCAATTTTTGGCCAGCTCGAATAATCTTCCCTCTTACACTGCCCTGCCCGAGGCCCCTCTAGGGTTCAAAAGGAGTGTCACAACCTGTACGGCCTCTAGGCTGAGACAATCAGCGAAGGGGAAGTGAGGGGAGCCAGGCTGAGATGACCTGGTCTTATCACACAGGCAGCTAACTGAGTGGCTGTTGGACTGGGGCAGCTTTCAGACCGGAGCAGCACCGTGGCGGTGAGGCTACTTACTGGCCGACAGGCAGGTCTTCTATCTCAAGCAATACGCCCTTCTCAAAGAGCCGTGCCGCCGTGTAATGCAGCGACTGCTGCTTCTTGCTCTTCCCATTGAGCCTTAAAAGAAAAGGAATGCGGGGGGTCGGGGGGGGCTGAAATGAAGCCACGCAGCTGCCTGCCTGGTACGCGATAAATGCAGCGAGTCGCTCTACACGGACTCGTTCGAGTCACAGATCTGGGCCTATGAGTCTGATCTCTCGTGGGGCCAGAGGGGTTTCCAGATTAAAGGGATGCAGGGGAGAAGGCTCTTGAGCCAAGAGAGGAAGTAACTGCTGCATGAACAGAGGAGGCCGACTAGCAAGAAGGCTCATGTGGTTAACTAAAGAGGGATGTAATGCTACATACAGAGTGGAGAAGAATTCCTTCCTGACCCCTGGGTGCTGATCAGCTCATGCCCTGAAGCATGACATTCAGTTACCCTCTGCGCAGGATCGTAAGCATTGGCGGTTACAGCTTTGAGCTCTTTTCCGGCCCATACATAGCCCAACGTACTTGCTGCTGGCAGCCAGGTTGTCCAGACATGTCCGGATGTACTGATTGTAATAGTCGATTTGCTCCTCATAAAACGAGGTCTTGGAGTTGAGGCCGTGGAGGGTCTGCCGCAGTTTCACTAGCTCCCCCTTGCGGTGCTGCCGGTAACGCCTCTGATTGCGAATATCCTGGAGCATGGGCAGGGATGAAGAAAAAAAAAACACAGCTGGAAAACCCCTTGCCTGGACCCAGTTTACTGAAGTGAGAACCACAGCTGACTGCAAGCTGAAACGCCAGTTGGATTCTGGAAACAAGATAAGGACCACAGGGCTTAAAGCATCGAATTCTCTTTCAAGCACTTAGAGGAATGTTCGAGTGGCCGGGCTCTGGCCCGGTGAACAATTCCCTTCGGCCCCCGAACGCATCTGCCCCCTCCAGCAGTAGCTGCCCCCGGTAGCTCTGTTGTGCAGATCAGTATCTAACGTGAACTCCATTACGGTCACATCCAAGCACTGCACAATCATTAGTGTCTTTATGCTCATCCAAGGTCACGCAGGGGAGTCTATGCCAAAGTAAGGACTTGAGCCACGCTGTCTGCTGGAGCCCTCTGCTGTCTGTCTGGCCACCCAAGTGCTTAATTTGGCCCCCCTCTGAACTGAACCCTTCAAACATCAATGGGCTCTATGCATCCAGCACCTTTGGCTTATCCTGTTATTGTCCCAGCTGAGCCTGTTCCTAACCCCTGGCCTTCTCCTAGGTTTTCTAAGCCGGGGTAGGCTGCAGGGGGTGCTACCTTGGCCATCTCGTTGATGATCTCCTGGTACTGATTGGCCGAATCCACCACCCCCAGGCTCTCCAAGCGCCGCAGGTTCCGGATGACCTTCCGCTTCTTCTCTTCCATAGAGAGCTGGCTGTTGCTAGCCAGGGAACGGTTGCGTTTCAACCTGTCTGGGGTCTGGGCCTCACGCAGGGCCCGCCGGCGCATCTGGTGGTGATGGAAGGCTTCCTAGAGAGAGAGAGATGGAACATTTCTTCCATCAGCGTGGCACCTGCGGCAGCATCCCCGGAAGCAGGTTTCAAGACTTGGAGGCCATGGGGTGAGCATAGGGAGTCAGCCCCCTGCAACCACGCACGAGCCTCAGGCCAGACAGAAATAGGTCTCCTCCCTGAGCAGTGAACTCTGGCTTCTCAGACTGGGTGGGGCACAGGTGGGCCGAAGGAATCAACCATGCTCCTACGCCAGGGTGCGCTTGTAACAGGCTGGCCTGCCCCTTTCAAAGGCCAAGAGGCCACTGGCAGCCCCTGTGCCATAATTAGCTGCCTTCCAGCCTAAGGCAGGACTAACTGAGCTCAGGTGACAGCCTGATAAACAGCTGGGCCTCAGGAGAGGGCAGAGAACAAGCTGGGCTCCTGGGGAAGGCCCTGAAATAGGGTGTGAAAGAAGCAGGGGACTCGGCTCTATCCCAAAGCAGATAGGGAGCCCAGAAGGGACTGGAACACAGCGCAGAGGGTGGGCTGAAGAACCTTTTGTTTGGACTTGTTACCCTGGAAGGGGTTAAGTTTTAGTTGGTGACTTGGCTGGAGGGCTAAGCCAGGGCATCAACTCCAGCTTGTGTGGGGAAGGCCGAAGGGGCCCACCTTGGAGGAGTAAGTTTAGGCCAGGAGTGCCTGCAGCACCAGCATACACAACTAGCAGGAGGCGCTATGGGGCAGCCACACCTGTGGTATATGCTCCAGTTAAGCACCTCTCCTTTGCAATGATGTGTGCTTGCAGTATACATGTCAGCCAGTAGATGGTCACTGTGTGCTGTAGCAAGCTCCAGGCAGGGTGTTAGCCCCTGGTAAACAAAGGAAGCAAAGCTGGGACTCAAGCTGGGTGGAAAGCCTGTTTGTTATTTGTAGCAGTTGTCTTTAACAAACACCTCCTGCTTAAGACAGGCTGCGATTCACCCAGCCTCCAATATCCCCCACTGCTGGCCAACCCCTCTCTGCTATTCTCCACCCTACCTGATCCTCTGATGCAGCTGTCTGTAAGATCTCCAAGAGGGAATCCCCCAGCTGGGCCTGGATCACGTCCACTAGCATCTGTTTGGTGCTAAAACAAAAGAAAAGCAGCACAAGTTACCCGTTTTGGTGGCTGCGGAGGAGAAGGATGGGTTGAGCTAGTTAGCTGCAAGTCGATGAGCCAAACAGTGGAAGATTTCCTTGCAGATGCCACTGTCAGGGCATTTAAACATATCAGAGCAAAGCAAGGAGCCCAGACCAGCCAAGATGGCCATTTACTGGCTTGGCTTCTGGAGTGTCAGAAAAGTTTCACTGAATCCTTGGGCCACAGGGTCCCTTTCAAAGGAGGACGTGCCACAGACTCGCTGGATGCTGGATTGCCACGTTCAGAGGGACGCACTCACCTCAGCAGCAAGCTCCTTGTATCTGCCTCCTCGCTACTGGCCTCCACCGCATCAAACTTGTTGGCGAGGGTGAGCGAGACCTCCAGCTTGCCAAGCTGGGCCAGCGCTCGCTCGGGGCTGCCGTCACCTGGGTTCGGAGGGCTCTCACCTGCAAGGCCAAAGAAAGTCGGGAGTAGATACTCAGTCATTCATCAGGGGAGAGGGGTGATCAGAGCCAGAGGGGGGAGATCTGGGTTCCACATGGCACCCTGCCACCGGTGCGGACTGCTGTGTGTGGGGTAAATCACTCCAAGCCCCTCTGTGCTTCTGCTTGCAAGCTTGAGGCTTTGTCCCACTGAGTGGTACCTGGTGCCACCATATTCCTTGCTAATCAGTAATCCTCCCAGCTCAAAGGAGGAAAAGGAATAACCCTGACCATCATAGAAATAAGTAATGGACCCTCCCAACCCGATCAGAAGGATGAGAAACAAACGAACACGACAGCACTGCCCACCCGACGCAGTCGAAAACCCACAAAATGGGCTTTGAAAATCAGGGAGGAGATCGAACATATAAATAGGGTTCTCTTTGCCTCCCCCCCCCCCTTTCCCTCCTGATCTAAATGCACTCAGGTCACGTGGTCAAGCTTTTTCTTGCAACCATGAGGACTAGAAACTTGGTCTTCTAAAAAGACGGTGAGCTGAGGTTCTACCAGTCGCATGACTTCAGGGGTTGAGGCTTTAACAAAAACCCAAGGAGGGTTACTCGCCCAGCACAGTAAAATTACTTGGCCCAGGTGAATGGAATGTAGCAAGGCTACTATCAGAGGGGATAACAGGCAATATGCGTTCACTTGAAAGAAGACATGCAGGGGAGGGTGTTCTTGAAACTTACAAGGGGTCTGCACGTACCTATCAGAGACTGGACAGTAGGCAGCTCATCAAGGTCTTCCAGAAGCTCATGCAAAGGGTCCTTGTGATCGGGCGAAATGGAGTCCTGATGCTCTAGTAACAGCTACATCACCAGAGGGAGAACACGAGCGAGGTGGAGAGCACAAAAGGAATGGGATTAAAAACCATATTCCAGACAAGCAGCGCCCCACCATTATATAAACCAATGATACGGTCCAGCCTTGTCTGGAATACAGCATGTGCACTGGTCACCCCATGTCAAAAAGGATATTGCAGAAAGAGAGCAGTTCACAAAAGAGCTCGCTGAGATGCCTCAGCACCGTCCCGCCGCGGCAGGCAGGCGGCATGGCACGCAGCCACAGTCTCACTGAGCCCACGGGCAGGAGCAGAGCTGACCCGACCTGGGCGGGGAGCAAATGGGTTTGTTTTCTGACCCCCACCCCAGCATTCGTCGCAGGCCCTGGCTGGGTTGCCGGGCTCTACTGTTGATCTGAGGATCCAAGGTTTCAGCCCTTGAGCCCCCCTTCCCCTCCCGATTGCAGCAAAGGGTGTGAGGCAGACGCACAAATCCTTTCCGGACCCCTTCACCTTGTGGGTGTTAATGAGTTCCACTGCCGTGATGTAGATGACCGGCTTGGCCACAGCTACCATCTCCGAGTACTCATCCACATTAAACCTTTCTTCCGGCTCAGGGACGGAACAGGCAGCACTGATGAACTTCCTATGGGGAAATGGGGGGGTGGGGGAATAAAAGTGTCCCTTCTGTGACTGCTGAATCCAGTCCAGGATTTGGGGTGAGTAGGGAACAGGCTGTGGAACTAAAGAACCAGAGAGAACCACTGGGCCTGCCTGTGTCCAGCAGCCTCAGTAGAGAGAATGCCATTTAGATTCATCACAGCCCAGTCCTCGCTCTTCTGTATCCTCAGGGGAGTAAAGCAGGAGTGATACCGTAGGAAATTTCACTGCAATGCCTTATTGATCCAGTGACGGGAAGCAACAGCTGCTGAGCATGCAACAGCTAATCCCAAAGCTACACTGTTTTTTGTATCTTCCTGTGGCCCAGGTCGCACTTCGAGACACGCTCCTGGGCTCGCTTGATCCCAGGCTGGTGAGTACGGCGTTCCTGGCTGCAGGTTCTGCACCCGTCATGCTCTACGGTCCATTTGGCGGGGGGCGTACATTGCAATCGAAGGGTGCCTGCAGCAGGTGTAGACACACCCGAGCTCACGTGGCTTTAGCTAGCTCAAGTGAAAACAGCAGTGAAGCCCAGATAGCGTGAGCTGTACAAGTCCATCCGGGGTACACAGCAGAGTGGCCGCAGCTTTGCTGTTGTTACTCAAGCTAGCTCCGGACTGTCTTCGTGTGGTCTGACTGCAGGACCGTACGCCCTCGGCATAACGCCCTTCACAGTTACAAGCCTTGCACTACAGCGAACCCGGATTGCACCTTGAGCTCCTGCTGCTGGGCTCGAGGTGTCAGCCACCGCCGTCCCCCGCCCCACCTCCCCGCAGGACTCTTTCCCTAGAACAAACCCCTGGCTATAAGGGACGAATGGTTTGGATCCCCAGGGGTTCGTTATAGCGAGGGTGTACTGTATCAGCTTACTGCCTACCTGCTCCGTCCTTTGGGTTTTTGTGATGCATTAGCTAGGGGCATGTGCTTTTGGGCACCCAAACAGGCTAGAACTCACCAAAGCAACGAGGCGTGAAAGGCTGCAGCATGGCTGCGTTACCATATCCTGCATCACCCTCTGCTGCCCCTTTAAGAACACACAGCTCCCACTTCTAGGTGCTCTTCTTGCAAAGTGCCGTCTTCCCTCAGCTCCCCACTGGAGTCTGAGCACCTCACAGGATCGGGCCCCTTCAAGCAAATCCCAGAGATTTGACACTCTTTGGGGCAGGGACGGTCGTTTTGTTCTGTGTCTGTGCAACACCTGGCAATGTGGGTGCTTTTTCAGGACTGAGACCCCTAAGAGACACTGTTATATAAATAGGAAATCAACCCTGATGACCCTGGTCAATAATCGGGCCTCAGCCTGGGACTGGAGCCCGGTGCTGCTCCCCATACAGATAGACCCTCTGCTGTTTTAATTCTGCTCTGCAAACTACCGCATTAGCCAAGTCCATCAGCTGTCCCCCGAGAACAAGGTGGAGAAGCAAACACATGCATTCTTCTAAGTGCCTAAAAGGTTTTTAATTACGGACTAATTTATTCACTGGGGCCGACAGGAGTGCCAGGAATGCTGTTTAATCATTGCACATTCGTTTTCACTCTGATCTGCTTATTGAATCCTGATGTACCAAAGGGGCACATGCTAATTACTCTCAACTGTTGCCAAATGCTAGAAATGACAGAGGGCTGGGGAGGGAGAGGGGGAGGTGGAAGAGTTGCATGGAACCCCCCCAGGCTAGTGTGGATACAGTTACCAGTATAAAGGAGCGTATACTGGATAGTCACCCAGGTTTGGGGAACTAACATAAGTTATGCTGATCTAAGCACAGCAGAACCTCAGAGTTACGACCACCAGAGTTACAAACTGGCCAGTCAACCACACACTTTATTTGGTCTTGAAAGGATACAATCAGGCAACAGCATAGACTCCAAAAAAGCAAACACCGTACAGTGCTGTGTTGAACTACTAAAAAAAATAAAGGGGAAGCAGCATTTTTCCTCTGCATAGTAAAGTTGCAAAGCTGTACTAAGTCAATGTTTAGTTGTAAACTTTTGAAAGAGCACCCATCACGTTTTGTTCTGAGTTACAAACATTCCCGAGGTGTTCGTAACCCTGAGGTTCTACTGTACAGTCATTCTGGTATAACTGAGTCCACACTATGGTTTTACTGGTGTAGCTAGATCAGTTGCTTAAAAAAGAAAAAAAAAAAAATCACTCCCCTAATTATGATTACTTATTTGTATTGTCAAAGTGCCTGGGAGCCTGTGCCATGGAGCAGGACCCCATGGTTCTACCGGCTGTAAAAACACATAACAAAGGGACAGTCCTGGCCAGTTTTTAAGTGTAGATCCTCTTTTCCACCCAGGTCCCTAGCTAAGAAGTGAGCTGCCCTCAAAACTCAATTAAGCTTTGCTGTTACCCCTCCCCCCCTTTGCAGCAGCATTAGCAAAAGGAAGTCTGGCCTTGTGGTTGAGACCTTAGCCTGGAATTTAAGAGACCTGGATTCTGGTCCCAGCGCTGCCACGGACTCCCTGCAGGAGACTCGGCAAGTCGCCTTGTCTCTCTGGACCTCAGTTTCCCCATTTGCAAAAGAGGGATGAACAACACCTCATGTCAGCCTTGTTTGTTTCAATTAAGCTCTTTAGGAGATAGGAGCAGTCTCACTACATGTACGTACAGTGCCTAGTGCAATGGGACCATGGCTACAACCGCCATCGCATGGCACCAACCTGAACTTAGAGTGGGTTTCTTCCAGGTACTGGTTCACCACCCGCAGGTGGCTGTTTTCCCCCTCGAACATCTTATTGGCCGCCGCGTGCTGCAGGATCTTGGCAATGGAGCCCAGGTTGCGCCGGTGCTCAGGGTGCAGGGCCACGCCAGCAGAGATATCCACGATATCAAAGCCGTCCGGTGCCACCACGGCCGGGTTCATGAACCGGTAATAAAGCAGGTTCCCGACAATCTAGGGGGCAGCAAGCAGAGAAAGGGAAATATTACTACTGATGATGCCTAGCTCTTACGTGGCTCTAGCCTTGTCTGGACGCAGCCTAAATCTTTGTTCTAGGCTATAACACACTGGTAGTTTACTGTACAGCTTTACAGTATGGGGCCCGTGAAACACAGTTCAGGAGTTCTGATTGCAACCCACAGTGGGCAGCAGTGCCCATGCACTAGCCAGCTCATTACACTAGGATTATCCCTCTTAAACCGATGGGGAAATGGAAGCACAGAGCAGGCATGTGACTTGGAATAACTGGAATCCAGATCCACTAGGCCACACTGCCTCTCTGACAGGATGCCAGTGGGGAGGGCAGAAAAGCTATCCAACGCCTCTCCAGACTCGACGTTCAGAGGCAGCCATCTGCAGCTGCCGTCACCTTGCCTAGCTCTCCGCGTTCTCTACGCACCTTGCAGATCTCCTCCTCACCGGCGTCTGGGAATTTCTCAGCCAGGGATGTCTTCAGGACTTTGGCCACGTAGCGCATCCCGTAGCTAAGAGAAATCAGAGAAGAGGCTCATTACGTGGGCAGAGGTCAGCCAGCAGGCTTAGAGTCACATACGCCAAGGCCAGAGCCCGTTAACAATCATCTAGTCTGGTCTCCTACACAACCTCTCCCAAGGGTTCCTGAATCCAGCCCAGGACAGCAGATCTATGGGAAAGAGATGCAGTCTTGAGATGCTGGGAGAAATCCACTGCACCCATAGCCCAGTTGTTCTAATGGCCAATTACCCTCCCTATTAAAAATCTGTTCCTTATTCATTATAAGTGCATTGGTGTCTTTGTTCTGAGTTTGTGCAGCACCGAGCACCGTGGGGTCCTGGGCCGTGACTGTGGCTCCCCGGCACTGCAACAAAAACAGCGACTTGGTACAAGTGACGTCTCCACTGCCAACAAAGCCCAAGCCAGGCTCGACTTTCCCTGGGCCAGACCTTGCCTAAATGACAGTGTAAGCTCTTTGGGGGCGTCTTCCTGTACGTGAGGCCAGCCTGTGGTGCCATAGGCCAGCCTGCGAGCCTCTCCGAGACCTCTCAAAGCCCTCTGCTCTCTCTTAGGTAATCTCCATGGCACCACTCTCCTGCGTATGGAGGTGCAGAGTATTACCCAGAATATTATCCCCATTTTACAAATTGGAAGGGGAGGGAGGGAAACTGAGGCACGACTTGCCCAAGGTCAGGCAAGGAGGAAGCCCAGGTCTTTCAACTCCCAGTCCCACATTTTAACTGCTAGATCCCACTCCCTCTCCATTACCGGTATCTGAACTGCAGAAAGGAGAGTTGCACTCCAGGAAACGCAAGCAAATCAGAACAGACCCACACCCTACTTCTGGATCAGCGAGTAGGCACCTGCAGCAGGAGACGCCTCCCACAAGACTCGCTAGATGCATTTTTCCTTGAAAGCACCTTTGGCATTCATTAAACTAGCATGAAGAGTCCTGCCTGACCCCTCTCCTCTACAGGTCTGAGCGCTCCATGGAGGAAGGTTGGGACTGTCATCCCTGCTTTACACATGGGGAAACTGAGACACAGAGCAGGGACATGACTTGCTCCAGGTCATACAGCAAGTCAGGGGCTGAGAGTAAAACCCAGATCTTTTAGCTCCCAGCCCAGTACCCTTTCCATTAGGCCACTCTGCCTCACTGACTGTAACAGACAGGCCCAGGGCTACCTACGGAATTTTGTCCACGGAAGAGGTGATGGCAGAGAGGAACTTGTCTGTCACTGCCAGGAGGTTGCGGATAGAGATGTCCAGGCGACGCTGAACCTCGGGGTGGCTCAGGGCCTGGTCGGGGCTAACATCATATGGGAGCTTGCTGTGGACAGAAGAAAGACATCCTTAAGCATCAGCACGGGGCAAGCCAACGTGGCCTCTGTGGCAAGGCTAGGCGTGGGCCAGGCCTGACCTCTTTTGTCCGCTCTGAGACTCCATCTGGTTGATCCAGGCCTTGTAGATGTCCACGGGGTTGGTGCGGATGCTGAGGGTTTTGTCCTGCAGAACCTCCTGTACGGGGCCGCCCAGGATCTGGCGCAAGGCGTTCTGCCCGCGGGCATTCCGGTAAAAGCTCACCACCAGCCGGATCACAGTGGGGTTCCCCGTTAGGATGTCGCGGAGCTGGTCGACTTTGGACCTGGATGGGGGGTGAGAAAGGACAAAAAACTCTGATCTGGGCTCGAAGGTGCAGCCAGCACAAATAAATAGCCACTGAAGACAAGCAGCGCCGTTATTGTGCCGTAGGGATCTGCCGAGCTGTGGAATCAGCCTGCCTCCTGGTACCACTGCCTACCTCCTGCATGTATAGATTAGTCCAAGGGGATGCTGGTGGCATGGCATCTCCTCCAGAAGGCGTCCATGCCCCCCAGAGACGTCAGTGCTCAGACTCTAAAGGCCTGGCTGCACTAAACCCAGAGGTGGGACTGCAGCCGGCGTAGACGCACCTGAGCTAACTTGGGCACCAAGAGCAGCGAAGCCATGGCCGCACGGGCTCCCTGCCTGAGCGCGCACCCGAGATCTCAGCCGTGGCTGCACAAGCCGGCCTTCGCTGCTGTCGATGCCCAAGCGATGTAGATTAAAGCCAGCTCGGGTCTGTCTACACATGCTGCAATCCCACGCCTGTTTGCAGGCGAGCCATCCCCTAAGGGGGATAAGCACCATAACCTGGTCAATAGGCGTTTGGACAGGAGCTAGCCCTACGTCCTTGCCCAGACGGCTGTGGAGCGTAAGCATCCACGTGTCTCAGAGGGTTCTAGGAATACAAGAGGCATCCAGATGAGACGGTTTCATCTGAATGCAGGGAAGAGACAGACGGACAGCTCCTTGAGACAGACAGGCGTTCAAGCCCTGGGATCAGGGCAGCCCTGGTTGGCCAAGGGAGGCCAAGATGGTATGTGCCCATCGCACTTACCTGATCTCCTCCTGCAGGGCGGTTTTGAAGAGCTGAAGGAGCAGGTAGGCCTCTCGGGGATTGGACGCGTAGTTGTAAAGCGTGAAGACCACCGATTCCATGAACTTGGTCGATTTGTTCTGGGGCATCTGGAAAATCAGCTTAGCCAGGTACACAGGGTGGGTCTGCGGACAAAGGAGAGGTGTTAAAGAGGAGAGCTATCCTGGGGTCTGAGGGCTGGAACAGTCAGCGTGGTCTGGTGACTACAGCCCTGGACTGGGAGACCTTGGCTCTTTGCAGCTCTGCCATTGACCTACTGGGTGACCTTGGGCAAGTCACTTCCCTCTCTGTGCCCTCCCATCCTTTGTCTTGCTTGATTAGACAAAGCTCTTTGGAACAGGGACGGTCTCTTGCTGTGTTCACATGCAGGCCTAGAACAATGGGGCGCTGATCTGTTATGACCTCTCGGTGCTACTGTAATACTAGATAACAAATTAACACCCATCGCAGGAAAACTAATGAGCAGATCCCAGCGTCACAGCCCCCTGGGATGCAAGCATGCATCCCTGCGCCTGGCTGGGACAGGTGACAAAGCATCCTGTGACGGCAACTCAGACGTGGCGCTTCCTTTTAAGGAGGGAGCTAGCCCAGACCGAGAAGGGAGCCCCAAGGTCAGAGGAAGGAGTCCTCACAGAGCATAAGGCCAGAAGAGACTCTTGGATCAAGAGCCCCAGGTGCCAGCAGTGCCCAGGTCCCTGCAATGGCAGGGAATTGATTCAGCGAGAGATGCTCAGGTGATCCCCGCCAGCAAACCACACCCCATTTCTGCATCAGTGAGAAGACACTTGCACTAGCCACTGCCTTAGCTGGATGTGGCTTTAGGAAAGGCCAAGGCAGCAGAATCCAGGCTGAGCAAGGTTTCCATCTGATCGGACATTGACCTGTTGGTAACCCCCTGCCTGAAGATGGGGTTGTGTGCGGACTCCCTGAGCCCACATGCAGTCCCTTCATGGAGCTGAGCTGAGGAAACCAAGGCAGCAGACACGTGACCAGATGAGTGGGTTGGTGGGGATGCAGACTGTTCCCCCCACTCCCCAGCAACAAATGGCCTCCCAAAACCAGCAGCCAGCTCACCTGCAGCAGGTAGAAGAGGTGCTGATAGGCCTCCAGCTTCTGGCGCTTCTCCTTGCTGAGCGACTTGAGGCCCTTCTGTTTGTCGATGGCCATCAGGTTCGACAGCTGCTCTTTGTTCTTCTTCGTTAGCTTCTTGCAGTGGGAAACCACCTCCTGTCATGGGGCAGGCGAGCAGACACTGGTGAGGTTAGCAGGAGTGCCTAGGTGATTTAGGAGCATCCACCCCATTGACATAGTTGAAGCCGAGTGACTTGGGAGCACAAGTCTCATTGGACTTGCAATGGGAATTGTGCTCCTAAATCTTCTGGGAAAATTCCACTCCTTTGGGCCTTGGGATTCACGCAGCTTTGCCATTTACACACCATGGGGAAAGTCATCCCCCATCAAACCACACCCACCAACTCCTGGCTCGCTCTGCGTGCTGTTGGCAGGCTCCCCATTCCCCAACAGGCCTCATGGAAATCAGCAAGGTGCTGCTGACCGCAGGCAGTGTGATTTAGTGCATAGCGCCGGACTGGGAGTCAGGACACCTGGGTCTATTCCCAGCTCTGCCACTGGCCTGCTGGCGACCTTGGGTGAGTCACTCTCCTGTCCTGTGCCTCAGTTTCCACACCGGTAAAAATAGGGATGTGATATTGACCCGCTTTGAAGCGCATGGATGAAAAGCGCCACAAAATAAAAATAAATACGCAGCTCTTATACATTGACCCAGCTCATCAGGGGCTGGATCCGAAGCCCCCTGAAATCAGGGGAAAGATTCCCGCTAACTTCAGTGGGTTCTGAATTAAGCCCTGTGACAGATATGGCAATAACCTGGACAAATGTCACCGCATTAAGTTACGTCTTATTGAATTCAGGTTCGGTATCGTTGTAGGGTAGGGATTGTCTACAATTCCATGGGGGAGGGGAAACCCCAGCCCTCCAGGTTCTCCAGGGACGGGGGTGGGTAGCATGATTAGGCAAAGTCCCTGAGGTTGTAACAGCTCCCAAGACGTGCCCCCGGCTGGAGAGGCTGGCATATACTGGTTCACGCTGGGTTCTCTAGAGACCTAACAAAGAAAACCCCTGAGTTTGAACAGGCTCAGGGCCTGCTTTCAGATCCAGCAAACGGATGGGACCTTCTGTCCAAGGGGGGTCCAGTCCTTCCTGGGAAGGGTTGGAAGGACTTCACTTATTTATGGGGTGGGGCTGGGGCTTGTTCTTAGCTACCAGCTGCTATGAACTTGTGACCATAGGAAACCCCCTGAGTGGGGTTTGAAGGACTGACCACCAACTGGAGCGCTTACTGGACCTTGGGTGATCTCTGGTCAGCTTATTAGCACACATATAGGTTTTACTGTTTTTAATCTGTGTTTTCTCCATCTTGCTTTCACCTGAAGAAGAAATCTGCTTGTTTAGAAAGGGCTGGGTGACCACTTACACCTCTGGGCAATTAGGCTGTTTATAGCCTCGGGGGAAAAAGCAAAGGAGGACTGCTTAAACAGTCTGACTTGCTAGGGAATTCGCAGTATAGTCAGAGAGCTGGGGAGTCTAGATACCCTGGTCAGGAGAGAGATGCTGATCTCTCCCCGAGAGGGGACAACTGGGGAGCCAGGTGCCCTTGGTAGGATACAGAGGGGGAATAGAAGTGCAACCGCCCTGAACAGAAACAAGCCCGAAGGGCCAAACTCAGTTCTGGCATAAGCAGGCATAGCTCCATGCCTACACAAGGACTGGATTTGGAAGGATGTTTTCCAGAGGCACAAACAGGCACATAAAAGGAGCCTAGAGGGTTTAGGAACGCTAGTTTTAGTCTAGTCCAGGGCAGTGACTCCAGAATCGCACTGGTGTAACAGAGCAGAGCCTGGCCCCTGAATGGGAAAGTAGCATGAGTGGAGAAAAAGCCTTGGGACAGCTGAGCTACTGCCCCGATTACGCCCCCCCCACCCAGCCCGTGACCCCCTGACCTGCAGCGTGATCCTGTTCTTAACCAGAAGCCCGATCTTGATGTCCATGAGGTTGAGGTCGCTCTCCAGCTGCTGGTTGGAGCGGATCCTCTTCACCACCTCCTCCCGCAGCTTCAGCAGCTCCGACTCCTCCCAGAAGTCATGCTGGCTCTGCTCCAGCAGGTGGGCGAAGCGCCGGACAATGCTCAGTGGCGGGTCCCTGGCGTGGACTGGCAGGGGACGGAGGGAAATCTCCCTTGAATGTGGTTAAATGGCTACTGAGGGCTTGTCACGCTCAGGGCCAGCATAAAGGGGCCTTAAAAAGTGGGTGGAAATGGGAACCAGGAATCCCCCCTGCACCGGGGCCTCCCCGGACAGCATGGAGTTAGTGTAAGGGCTCTGCACCTGCTCCCAGCATAAGCTTGGATAGGGGGTGAAGCCAAAGCATGCTGCTCTGTGGCTATTTGTTGATTTCAAGCTCCCTTAGGGAACACGGCCTGAAGTTAGAGCAGCCCTGAGGCTGCTCTACCGTACACCAACGGGCTGGCATGGTCTCTGCATAGCACCAGACTTCTGGGACTGCAAAGGGGGCTTCAGCCCATACCCGAAGTGTAGGAATGGTAATGAGAAGGCAACATCCTTGCAATTAATTAAAGGCACATCTGTATTAAAAAAAAACCTAGACAGACAAGCACTTACCCAACATCCTGTAATCCCCACGGGCCTTGTTAGCTCTCACAAAAGCCTGGATTTTAATTACAGCATTAATCTGCCAAGACAAACAGAGGGGAAGAGGGATGTTTCCTACAGCGTCCCTGCAGCAAGCAGCAAGTGTAAAGAGAGAAAAAAAATATACCAGCCATGCAGCTAGCAAACTGATTAGCTGGGTGTCGGGCAGAGGGAGCATACTCATTGGGATCAGACAGTGAACTCCTAGTGCCTAGTCAGTCAGATGCCTGAGGAAGTAGTTTGAGCATGGGGCAGGGAGTCAGGACTCCTGGCTTCTATTCCCAGATGTGAAGCTGTGTGTCATTGAGCAAGTCATTGACCCCCCTCTGCCTCAGTTTCCCCTTCATCTGCGAAGTGGGTTTACTCTCTTCCTGGCTCACAGGGGATTTGTGAGGGTTTATATGTTTGCAGAGTGCTTAGGGTAAAATATCCAAAAGCATCTAAGTCAACAGGACTTAGGAGCCATGGTCACTTGGATGCTTTTGAAAATTTTACCCTGGGTCTTAGCGGCTGTTGCTTTCTTCAGGAGCCGCTACATTTGGCAACAGCCTAAATGAACTCCAGACACTCGGCTTCTCAATTTTCGCACACACCCCTTTACCCCAAACTTTCAAAGCGGATTAGTGACCTTGGGTGCCACACCTGAGTGGTCTTAAAGGGGTCTGATTTGCAGGGGGAGAGTGCTCGGTGTGACGTTCACAGCACACACACAGAAGTTAGATTAAAAACCTAAATCCTTTTGCTAGAAGGTTGCAATGTTTCAACTTTATTTCTTAGAATTCAGAACACACAAGAACCCAAAAACAGAGAGAGAGAAAACAGACTGCTCCCTAAGGCGACAAGGCACCGCTCACCCCACCTTGCTTTAAACTGGTTCTTTACCAGTTGATCAAACACTTACTCAAGAACCCCCTACTCTGCGAGCAGGGCCAGGAATGAAGGAACCACACACCCAAACGCACACATGCGGCTTGCAATTCCGACACCATCCTCAATACAACGCACTCAGTCCTGTCTGAAAAATCAGCCTTCTTGAGGAGGCTCTCATCCAGCACCCAAGATCACTAGGCACTGACAAATGTGGGCCTTTGGACATGGACACATCCTCACTTTAGGTCTTTTTCTGGAGACTTGTATATTTCAGGTGCATACTTATATAGAAATCTTGCAACCTAGGGGCAGATTCTAGCACCCCACCTAGAAACACAGAGCTCCTCCCTCATCCCTGGGTCCCATGCTGGACCTCCACACAGTTATTTTGCTGATTCACTTTAAGAGGGCTCCTCTTTGCTCCAGAGCAAGATACAAGAGGATTTGAGGGTCTCCCTCAGGCAGAGGAAGAAGAGGGTCGAAGGACTCTCAGGGTAAGTTTACACTGCAAGCTGGGGGTGTAACACAGTTGTGCTAGGTCTCCGCAGGCTCGCTTGCTAAAAATAGCACGTGGCCACGGTAGCATGGGCAAGGCATCTTGAGTCCATACCTAGCATCTCTGATAGGCACGCACTTGGGATGGCTGGCCCGCCCACCATCACCAGTGTCTATTTTTAAGCACGCTAGCTCAAGTAAGTCTACTTGAGCTGGGGAATCACCCCCCCTCTCCCAGTGTGGACATCCTCTTGCAGATGGACTGAGGGTCTCTTTTCATAGCCTCTGGGGTTATATTTTCACTTGCACTCCCGGATCAGCCACTCACGTTCTTCCTGAAGTAGCGCAGCCGTTCCCGGTACCTTTTACGAGCTCGCCACATCCTCACATAGGCCTGGATCTGAGAGGAGGGAGCAGAAGAGACAGAGACAGATTTGGCCATTTTAACTGGACACAGGAAGCCTTGGAGGGTATTCTCCGTGACAACTATTGGATCCATTTCCACGTAGGCGCCCTTATTCCCTCTACACAGCACTAGGGGGCGCTGGGCTCCAGCGGGTATCTTTTCTGATCACAGATAATGCCAAGATTTTTGACAACCGTGGCGCTCTCGGCAAGAATTTTGGGTGTCACCCACCTAGGGTCAACATCCAGTTTGGGAAGCTATGTCCTGCCTCCCTAAGTCTCCCCCTGCAAGTAGATGCAGTGACTTAGGACAGAAGTGAATAATGTATTCTTGTTGCTGTGAAAGAGCTGTTACCTTCCACCCCAGAGGTGGCTGCATTGTCACTGGGATCCCCAGATCTAGATGGGAAAAACAGCTGACAATAGGATGTTGTTGCTACTAGAAAACAGAGGAGCAGGGCGGGGAAGGGGGGTGGGATTACAGAAGCAGACAAGGCTCCAGTACCTTTATCACAGCATCTCTGGTTTTTTGCAAGTACCGTAATCTTTGCAGGTAAGCACTGCGCTGTCTGTATCCTCTCCAGCATGACTGGATACACCAAAAGGGAAAACAAAAAAAAACACAAAAAACAAACAAACACACACCAATGAACTATAGCATGACATTTCTGGGGTGACCCAAGGCACCAGTTTACAGCGTGGGAGAGCCTGGTCTGTGCCCACAGGAAGAAATCCTCACACCTCTGCCAGCTGCTGGCAGCACAAGCTGCCCTAGGGAGGCTGCAGATCACTCCCAACAACCCCTACTCCTCAGCTCATCCTGCCTAGGTTAGTCCTCAACAGAGCCTACAAAACCAGGGCTGCAAGCCCCTAAAGAGAGAGGCCTTCAGCTGTCACCATTGCATTGCTGATTCGGCTTGTACGTTCCACCCTTCCCCCTACCCTGGGTGTGCCTTCTCAGATGGCAAGCTCTTTGAGGCAGGGACTGGCTAGCACTCTGTACAGCACCTAGCACACAGGTCCCCCGTTCTTGTCTGGACCTGAGGCCCTACCATAATAGACAGGATGAATAATAAAGCTGTTCTACTCGGTGTAAATGGGGGGTAATACCGGAAGTGGTCAGGATGCCTGTACAACGCCCTGAAGACCCAGCGCGATAGAAATGATGCCGTGCACATCAGCGTGTGATGGGCTCAGCAGTTCGGCAGCACTCCTCACTTGGATTTTGATAACAGCTGGTAACTGCTCCTGCAACAGATGTCTGCGGGCCACGAGTTCCTGGCGGACAAGGTAGCCCCTCATGCGGGCCTGCAGCCTCACGACGAATCCAGCGTTGGATTCCCAGAGGCGTTCCCGGTCGTGGGCCACGGTCACGCCCGTGATCGTCGACTGCAGAGATAGGACACACAGATCAGTTCAGGAAGACTTTGTAGATGTCAGACGCATGTACACCATCCACCAACGAGAAGGGAACACCCCCGGCTGGGTCAGCAGCTGGAATTGAACTCAGGCCACCTGGACCTAAAAAGCACAACCAGCTGCTGTTTTGATCTAAAGAACCAGATCCAATCAGCTCAGAGGCAGGGACAGACTCAGAAGCTTCTTACGTGGTTGAGCCAACGGAGGGAGACAGAACCACACTTTACCAGTGCGTTACACCCAAAAGCATATATGCTAGCAGGATTCTGAGACAGAATTGGGATAATCCTGCGGCTGGAGAGTGCATAAAAATATCCCTTGGCTTTTGGAAGCACTAGAAACCCTCATGCTTCAGGGCATGAGACCATCTCTAACAGGGTCAGGAGGAAACATCTCCCGAGGGCAGGTTATCCTGTAGCAGCGGGATTCTTGCACCTTCCTCTGAAGTAGCCGGTACCGCTGCTGGAAATAGGTCACTGGGCTAGATGGACCCCGGAGCTCATCCAGTCTGGCAACTCCCATAAGCTGGATGTTTAAGAGCTGGGATTGGGTCATATCACTGGAAGCAACAATCTCTTTTGCAAGCCTCTGGGCAGACCAAGAGGGCTGGAGAACTAATGGCTTTGTTACGAACATCTCTGAAGCGCTCAGACATGTCCCAGTGGGGCAACAGGCTAGAACTATGGATGCAGCCAGAGCATTTAACACACAGCGCATTCGCCTGGACGCCTCACATATCAACATCCAGGGCCTAGCAGCAGCATGCCAGACTCTTCAGCAATACTCCAGCCATGAGGGCTTTGATAACAGCCCCAGCAACTGCCCCTCACCTGGATTTCCTCCCAGCTGAGGTGGATGGAGTTAAGGACACAGTCACGCGGCTGCTCCCAGCTGCCTTCGAAGCTCTGCAAGCTGAAGTAATACACACTGCCATCTTTCAGCTGGTGTCGGACCCAGTGGTGCTTAGCGTTCCCTGAGCGTTGCCATTGGGACAGGATTAGGGGAAGGAGAGCGTTAACACACACACGGCAAGAAGAGAGGCAGCTGCAGGGTTAAACTGATCCAGCAGCAAAATGGATTTCTCAAAATGGATTTCCTCCGATCAGGTTTTGAAACCAAGGCTCAGCTGACGGAACACTTAGGCAGCTCTCTATAGCCTTGTCCCCAGTTTCAGAGTTCGGCTTTCAACTCCTTGCTCTCCCCATGTACATCCAGAGCAAGAGCCTTCTCCCTCACATTAGATACCCTTCCTATAGCAAGGATCTGTCAGCCCCCTCTCTGGTTTTGACACCTGGCTTGTCCTATTTCTCCCCTTGCAGTCACCCATCCTTCTTCTCCTCCATGAGCAGGAGCTGAGGTGCAGAGACTTGCCTAGAGTCAGTGGCAAAGCTGGGTCTCCCAAATCCCAGGCTAGGGCCCCAACCACTAGGCCATCCCCCTCGTTCAGCCAGGGGAAGCCTTGACGTCCCCCGCAATGGCCCAGCTAGCCCAGGACACTGTGTCTGACAGTAGCTGGTACCAGAGTGAATGGGGGAGTGTACAAAACAGGGCAGCAAGCAAGACCACCCAGTCTTCCCCTTGCAGCTGACGACAGTCAGAGGTTTAGGGCTGGCCATGTCTTTCCAGTGGGATGTGTGGAAATTGGGGGTTATTGACCTGGATTGCGGTAGCCCCTCGGGGTCCCAGTCACGAACTAGGGCCCATGGCGCTGTATGGACACGGAATGCTCCCTGCCCCAGAGAGCTATGGATGGTAGAGGCTAACCGATGCTAGCGGCTGGAGATGCGGCTCCGCCCCTGCGGTTTTCAAGGTCAGAGGAGTCAGGGGCCTTTTACCTGCTTGTCTCTTGGCAGCCAGGAGGGTGGCGAGCAGGGCCTGGTAGGCCCCTGCACATTCTGCCACAATGCCATGCAGGGAGACGTCCGGGTTCCGCAGCACGCGTACCGTCTGAGCCGGCTTCCCTTCTTTTATGGCCTGGTTGATGGCAGCAATACCTAGAGCCACTACGGGAAGAGAGGGGGAAGGCAGGGGTTAGAAAAGGAAGAGGGTGCGTTCATCCACTCACCCGCAGTGAGCCCAGCTTGGTCCATGCCTGCCTGGATGGAGGTCACCATGGACAGTAGTCTCCAAGCTTCCAACAGGGGAGTTACTGCTATATCGGAAGCCCAGGTCACCTTTGCAACAGCCATTCCCAGTGGGTAGTTAGCAGCCGGTTGCATGAAGCTTTGGAGATGGAGATTAATCCTTTGGGCCCCTGGGGAATGTGGATTCCAGACGGAACAGAGTACAGGTTTCTAGGGCTGCTCCGAGTCAGATTGCAATTGGAGGATCGGGGGAGAAGCAAGGAGTCTTGGAAGGTATGGCCACCAGCACAGCATTCAGTTGTGTTCACTGCTGTGGCTTATGGCACAGCATCCCAGAACTCCCATGCCTAGCTCATCTTGCGAGGCCTACCCTGATCCCTGGGGCTGGCACTTTGGGACCTCAGATGAGTGTCTCTCGCAACCCCTGGAGAGTCAGGGAGGGCGGAAGACAAGCATCACAGGGCTAGAGAGTCTCTCCCCGTCCTGCATTTCTTGACGCATGGAGGAATAATGGAAGAGGGCCGGGCTGCAGCTCCAGCTTGAGGCTGCTTGAAGTTCGCTTCCGAGCCCTTACTTCTCTTAGCTGCCTCGGTGTCCTGATTGGCCTGGGAAACCCCTTGCTGGATCTCCTCCCACCAGAGAGCTGCTCCATCATCCCCGGTCACCTAGGAGACGGGAGGCAAAAAGCGATGAGCTGGGGCATCTTTACAAACCACACGAAGAGGCAGTGCTTCCATTAGGGAGATGCAGCCACCTCTGGGGAAGGGGCGGCTGGCAAAAACAGCATTTAACGGAGTGGGAGGAAGTTGGATTAAAAGCCCCAGGGCTCTTCTGGAAAGTGCAACAGGATCTTTTGGAACCAGGCGGAGCGAGATTGTTCTCTGCCACACACTGGTTTTAACATGTCCCAAGCAACAGTCTTTCCACCAGCCCGACAAGCTGCTGCTCTCTGTAGCGCAAAGCCGACTGGCCTACCTGGGCTTTCTGCCTTAGCGCGGTGGTCAGCACATCGTGGTAACGCCTTGCCCCCGGGAGAGTCACGGCAGAGAGCCCTGCAGAGGGCAACAGCAGAGCAGTAAGCGTCTTCTCCGGGTCGTTCTGCACCAGTGCCTCGTTGATCAGTCTGATGGCGAGGATCTCTGTGCCAGGGAGAACAAAGACAGCCGGTGAGTCAGAGCTCACTGCAGCTCACGGAGCCCAGCGCTCAGGTATAAAAGCCACTCACGATCGTTTTCTTCTCGCACTGCCGAGTTGGCGCTGTTCACGCAGGCCTGGATGTCATTCCAGTTCAGGAACGCAACCCCGGCTTTCCCAGATCGGCACTTCAGTTTCAACAAGTCATCAAAATAGCTGAAAGGGAAAAGACAGAGCCATTCCTTAGCCCATGACTGAAAGGTCCCGCATCTAAGGGGCTGAAAAACGCTGTCAGAAAACTTCAAAACGCCCCACCGCAGCAGGCAGTCTCTTGTTTTCCAAATGGGGAAACTGAGGCACAGAGCAGCGACGGTCATGCGGTGAGCCAATAAAAGAGGTAAGAATGGAACCCAGGAGTTCTGACTCTTAGTCCCGGCTTTAGCCACCCAGACCAGCACCCCTCCTGCCACAGGCAGGAAAAGAACCCAGGAGTCCTGACTTCCATATGCAAATTCACCGCTAACTTTCTTAAGGTAAGATCAACAATGGTTTCTCCCCCAGGCAGGAAGCTGGGTCCAAGCGGTGGCTCCTGCAGACTGCTGGGGAGATCTGCAGCCAGCCCCTGATGACATCTGGTAACAGAACCAGGTTACAGACAGAGTTTAACCCTTCAGATTGTGGGTTCCTGCTGGTCCTGTTTCACAGCCTCAGAAATCTCCCCACCTCACAACTTTCAGGGGCCTGGCTCTGTCATTTTCAAATGCCACAAAGCCTTTTAACTCATTCACGGCCAAGTCACTCCACTGGAATTGGTACAAGGGGCATCGTTCCCACCGAAATCCAGCCAATTACCGCTGCACGTTTGCATCCTCGATATCAGACAGACCCAGGGCAGGGCTGACCAGGCTACTCCAGAATCCATAGACATCCCCAGCTTCCAGCACCCGGTTGATCAGCGCCACGGCCGAGAGCATCTCCACAGCAACGTACAGTTCCTCCTGCCCCAACTCACCCTGCAGAAACCAGGGGGCGGGGGGGGCGGGGGAGGAAGGAAATGACAGATGCACACAACAATGATCCTTTTCTGCCCCCCAATCCCTACAGTACCCAACATGAATCAATTTACAGTGGGAGAAACTGAGGCACAGAGAGACTTGTCCCATGCTGTCTGTGGCAGAGATTGAACCCAGATCTCCAGAGCGCCCATCCAGTGCTTTGAGCACCAGGCCAACCCCCAACCCATGCCGCAAAGCAAAGAGAGTCACATGAAGAGGTCAGACAGCGATTCCCCAGCAGGGACTGCAGTCTGGGAAGAGCATGCCTGCGAAGGGTGGCCCCCAGGACAGCAGCAAAGAGCTGACTGTTTGAGAGCCTCGGAGGCCTCTCCTCCTCCCCCAGCAGACGCTGCCCTCTCCTCACCTGCGGATGCTGCCGCTGTAGCAGGGACAGCTCGCGCTGGTACAGCTGGGCGGCAAAGGGAAAGGCCTCGGGCAGCTGGGCCTCGGGGCTCATCAATTCTCGCGCCGTCTCCGTCGCCTCCCCCCGGCGGATCGAAGCGTTGATGCGGCTCACGGCCTGCCTCCCTGCGCACCAGCGGGGCGGATGAGGTCGGGGCAAATTAAGTGGGGGCTGGGGGGGTGCGCGTGGAACTCGGGGCTTGCCACTCGAGCGGCCACGCTGCAAAAATAACGCTCCAGCTGTGTGGAGCGACTGCATCCCCGCTGCACAGTGAGCTCCAGCTTCAACCCTCCCTGACAGGCCGGCTATCTTAGCCCCACTGAACTCGAGCTAGAGAGCCGCGTGTACGGCCGGGAGCCGGGTTAGGGACAGCACTGTTACGATCCCGCCAGTGAAGACGCAGGTCTCCTGCAGCCCCAGCTCTGGGCTACTGAGGAATTGCCTTGCCCGGTTCCATTCAGCAGCGATAATCGTGGGGTGTTGAATTTGGGACGACGGGGGCTTCTGATGGCGGAGATCTGGGGCCAGGGCACGGCCCAGGCTGCCTGAATTCTGCTCACTACGCGGGGCTTTGCAACCCAGACACCAGGTGCTCCATGCTGATGGTCAGTTAACTCTTCTGGACCACGTGCACTTTGACCAGCTCGCCTGCCACGCAGGGGACTCAGGGCAGGCGCGATGCCCTCTGCCCAGGCACGGGACTGGCCCTAGCGGCTCTTTGCTGCCTTGGCAACAGTGTGGCATTGCAGGGCAGGGGGAGGATGGGTCCATTGGGCCAGGCAAAGTCCCCCCCAAGCAGGGACACAAGTTAGGGATGGCCCAAGCCCCAGCAGCTCCCAGAGGTGATGCAAGCTACCTCCCTTCTACCTACCAGCTGGCGCATGCCCCATCCCTAGAGTGGCCTGGGCATAGCCAGATGCCAAGCATGATGTTCAGACCCTCTCCAGCTGGGGCACTGAGACAGGAGAGGGAGCAAATGCAGCAATTGAACAGAGATAGGAAGTCCCTGTGGGGCAGGCTTCTCTCAACGATTTATTGGCCCCTCTGGCGAGGTGGCCAACAAAGGTGTCAGTTACAGGGGGTTTGTGGCGTGGGTCACTCGGAACTGGAGCAAGGCCTAGATGCATCAGGCAGGGGCCAAGAAGCCTGGATCTGGCCCCAGATTCATAGTGACCCTGGCTGGCCCCAGCTCGGTACCAGTCCCCTTCGCTGCATGGGGGGGGCTTGGCATGACTTACTGGCATGCTCCCGATCTCCCTTCTCATTGGCTGCGTAGACCCCCGCCTGCACCTCCTCCTGCTCCAGCAGGTCCACGTAGCCCAGCTCCTGCAAGGAGGAAAGCAGCAGGAGCTCACACACAGGGGGACCGGCCCAGCCAGCCTGCTCCCCTCCCAAGGCCACGCCTGCCATCCCTCCGAGGGAAGTTGCTCACATGCAGTCCGGCTGCAGCGCTTCCTGAAGGTCCACGTCACAGAAAGCCTTTAGAGCATGGGGCTTTCACTTGATCCAGACCTGACCCTGCATAGGGTGTCTGGACTCGTAGAGCCCGATCCCATAGCACCGCGAGCTGTTGGCCAGAGGGACATTACTGAGCTTTGGCAAGATGGATCAGCAGTATGAGCCGGTCTCCTCAGGAGGAGTCTCTACATCCCCGCCCAGTTCCTATCCCTGCAATATTCCTCCCCTCTCTGGTACGGGGGCTACATCCGCTGCTGGGCCTTACCAGTGCTTTCTGCTCCCGATCTGTACTCAGCTGATCCAAGTACCAGGCTGCGTTCTCCCGCTGCACACCACGCAGGGCCAGCACAGGATCCTGCAGGGCCTGGCACAAGGCTGGAGGGTCCTGCCTCTCCAGAGCATCGTCCACGTATTCCAGCGCTCCGTGCACTAGAAGAGAGGTGGTCATGCTCCAGGATACTTACGACTGGTGGCGTAGCACGCTCATCAGTAGAGCTCAAAGCTCTTCGCCAAGGAGGTCGTATCTTGATCCCCATTTTACAAATGGGGAAACTGAGGCACACAGAGAGGCAAGTGACTTCTCCAAGGTCACCCAGCAGGGTGGTGGCAAAGCAGAGAATAGAACCCAGGTCTAAGGAAGCCCAGTCTAGTGCGCTAACCACTAGGCCACACCCACTCAAGGTGGTGCCCCATTGACCTTTACCGGTGGCTAGGCCAACGTGAGCCTGTCACAGCTTCAGCCAACAAAGCTGCTCATGCACTAGAGGCTTGTGCTTCAAAAATCCAGAGATCTGGGGTTCGATCCCTGCTACCAGCCACCCACACAGGGGCAATGTATTAGGGCTTGTCTACACATGAAAGCCAATCCGGAATAAGGTTGTGAATTTAAAGTGGATTAACTATTCCTGATTAATCCACTTCCAAACCGGAGTTAAAACTAATTCACAATAAAGGCACTCATCCTGGAATAGGAGCATCTCCACCCCGGCAGTCAATCAGGCCGAGCGATTCTCTGTGTAGACAAGCTTTTATAAGACATTTACCCAGGTTACCGGTTTCAGGGATTCCCTTTGTGTGAGGGGAAGTCAGTGCAGGGGCCGTGTGGAGAACCTCAGGCTGCTCCTGGAATGAAACCCTTTGCCCCATAATGGGAGAGGGAGAGATTCCCTGCCTATGGCTCCTGAGCAGGACTCTGAAAACAACCAGAGCAGAGGCCATGCCCCCACTAAAGAACCCAGCCTGAAACAAAGCCTTTTGGGAGAGCTACTTAGCATTGGGCAGATCTCCCACGGCAAGGGGACGTGCTCAGTAAGCAGCATTTCCACTCCAGCAGCTCTCGAGGGGGGTTGCTTTGCTCACCGTTGACTTTGTTGATGTTCCCTTGTATTTCAGCCTGAGTCAGACACCGGTCGTAAATATCCTCACTTTCCAGGCTCTCCTGCAGGTACTAAGAAGAGGGACAAGCCACCCACCATTGCATATCTTGGCCTAGACGCATTGTGCTACCTCCGAGCATGCCAGAAAGACTCAACCCCGCACCCCAAAGGCTGCTGCAGCTAGCCCTGGCTGCTGACAGCTGCTAGAGGAGAGTACAAGAGCACACGCCTTTTCTCCAACCGCACCCCGCTATCCACCAGCTCCACCCACCCAGCGTTCCTCCTGTGGCCAGGTCAGCGCTCCTGAAGGATCCTGCCCACTTCCTTTCCTGGCTGCAGAGAAATCCACCCTGCGTTTTCACTCGATCCATTTCAAAGACGACTCAAGCCCTAAACTTTAGGTGTCAAAGCACGAAGAGCATCCCCTGATCATGATGCACATCGCACCGCTGTGGTCCACATATAGGATAAGAGCCTACCACTACCAACAGGTAACAGAGCTTCTCCTTTCACTGCGTGCTCTGCCCTTACCCGGTTCCTGGCATTGCCAGCTTTCTCCATCTTCACCTGGTACAGCATCTCCTGGTAGACGGCAGCAAGGTTCTCTCGCAAGTTGAGCAGCACGGCGCTGGGATTGCGCAGGGCCACCATGGTCTCCTCCACCACCCCCCTCTCCACAGCTTCGTTGATGGCGAGGACGGCGGCGTGGACTACAGCAGCCATGGCAAGAAAGAGACAGACACGTAAAACCATTGGGTGGTCAGACGGGGAGCCAGAGGCTGGAGCGACAGGATTTGAGTCTATTTATCGGTGGCCCGGATCTACACAGTGACACAGCATTGCAACTCCTGGCTTTCCGGGGGCTTGAAAAAAAAGTCACCAGAATCCACAAACCCTGGGTTAGGTGGTTGCTCTCTACACAATGCAAGGGGAGAGAGGGACACCTGGGAATGGGATCCACAAAAGCCAGCATGCTAGGCAGGGAGGTGCCCAAGGTAGCTAATGAGAGATGCCAACAGGTCCCACCCCTCTCCCGGACTGGAGGCAAGGTTGTGATCCACAGCTGGGATCCACTCTCCTGGAGTCGGGGGTCTAAGCAGCATGCACCTAACTCTCCCTTGACAACCATTAGCCCTGTGGTTCGAGCGGAGCTGGACCTAGACCGACCTGTAAAGGGGACAAACACATTCAGGGGTTACAGAGCTGGATTAAGCCAAAAGAATGCAGGGAGAGACTCATCCGAGCACCGCTGCAGGAAAAAACACCGTCAGCCTTTATCCTAGGGAGTAAAATCACCTGCTGCTTCATCCACTGAGAGCTCGCTGGCGAGAATCCCACCGATCTTGCTGAAGGCTGGCATCTGGAGGCCGTATTTCTCCAGCTCCCGCTTCATGTTGTTAATTTCCTCCTCTGGAACAGAGCAAGCTAAATCAGCAAATACATGCCTGTTTGGTCCGGGGCCGGCACCAGACGCCCTTCTGACATTTCTATTTACCAGGAGGATGGCAAGCAGAATTCCCCAGGCAGGAATGGGCACAGGGGATGCCGGGCACTGTACAGAGACTTAACCCCCACCCTAAATAGCAGGTGATGTCAATGGACATCAGCCAATTTGGTCTGCGCCAGGAGCCCCCTGTGCAGTACCACAGGCTTCCCTGGAGCTGTACATGGGCACAGGGCTCCAGTGCAGAACCAGGGCCATACGGTAAAACGACATTCAGTGTCTCAACAGGGAAAACCTAACAGAGCTAAGGGAGCCAGCAGCAGCATGTGTTTCTGTCTCTAACATCAACAGGGCTGAATTGGGCACATACAGGGAGCCAGTCTCTCAAATGAGACAGTGTGGTCTAGTGGGTAGGACTGGACTGGAGTCAGGACACCTGGATTTTATTCCCACTTTTGCCACTGATCTACCCTGTGACCTTGGGCAAGGCACTTCCCCTCCCTGGGCTTCTATTTTCTCTCCCACCCTTTGTTCATCATGTCTATTTAGATAGTTCAGGGCAGGAATGGTCTCTTAACATGTGTATGTACAGCACCTGGCACAGCAGGCCACTGATCTCCTTAGTTAGCTACGGAGATAGAAAAATTGACTTTTTTTGTATCTCAGCTTAAACAAGGCTTCTTATAAATAAAAAGCCCGCTGAAGCGTCTCTTCTGCAGAACAATTCCAGAGATACAAGCAGTAAATACAGATCAGCTGGATTTAACAAGGAAACCCCCAGGAACTAGCCCAGATTTGTCCTTTACCATCCCATACCTGTAAAGTTCACTTTCCCGTATAAATCCTGGATCTGCGGAGCCAGCCCCAGCTTAAACAAGTATAAACTGAAAATTTAAAACAAAACACACTTCATGGATGAATTTAACAATTCAATTTTTTCCTGGCACATGGTAACACACACACACACACTATGGGGTTTTTAATCCCTACAGTAGAAGACACAGTAAGCTCTGTGGTCTGGTCATTAGAACGCAGAACTGGGAGATCAAAGTTCTACAATGCCAGCTCTGTGACTGGCTCGCTGTATGACCTCAGGCAAGTCACACCCCTTCCCTGTGCCTCAGTTTCCCCATCTGAGAAACAGGGAGGATACCCCCTTGTAAAGCATAGACACCAGCACTCTGTGATTCAGACTAGGTCTCTGCTGCCTTCCAGAGAGACGGAGGTGGTTGCTTGGACCCCAGAAGTGCTAAATAAACTGGACCCCATCTCTCCCGCCCTCTGCCAGTCACATGTGTTCAGTCAGAACCCCCCCTTGGCTTAAAAGGGAGGGGAGGCGCTGTCAGGGTGTTCTCCCCTTGGCTTTGGGGGGAGGGATAGCTCAGTGGTTGGAGCATTGGCCTGCTAAACCCAGAGTTGAGAGTTCAATCCTTGACGGGGCCATTTGGGGCAAAAATTGGGGATTGGTCCTGCTTTCAGCAGGGGGTTGGACTAGATGACCTCCTGAGGTCCCTTCCAACCCTGATATTCTATGATCACTCCACCCTTCTGCTCTGAAACAGCCCAGACCCAATGGCTTTACGGGCATGTGGCAAAGCCCCTCTTTATGTGCATTTGTGTGGGACGAAGGGGACTTAGCAACAGAGTATTTTATTTTTAATATTTTTAACCCCACAGGAGATGGGATTCGGTGGGATCAGCAGCGGGTCCCCCCCACCCCGTATTTTGCATAGATTGTATTTATAACATTTTGTCACGGCATTTAGAGTCTGTGGCAGGCCTCTCCATGTGCGTTTCAAAACCTAGGCTCAATATTCGCAAACCTGGGGGCCTATGAACGGACACCTAGGGTAAGTGGCCGGATTGTCAGAGGCACCGAGCCCCCCCTCACTGCTGCAAAACACCTCTGGGGAACAAATTTTAAAAGGACAGGGGACCTAAGCATAGAATTGGATAACCTCAATCCAGTCACGCAGATCCCACAGACACACCTACGTGCCCTCACTTGACATGCGTGGGAGTCGTCTGTCAGACATGGAGTTAAAGGATCGGGACCCAAATCTGAGAATTACTGGCCTCCGGAGAAAAACATACAATGGCCACCAGGGGGCGCAAGTATCATTGGTTAAAATCTACAGGCAAAAGACCCCTCAGTTCTGATAACTAGGGCCCTACCAAATTCACGGCCGTGAAAAACGCATCACGGACCGTGCAATCTGGTCTTCTGTGTGCTTTTACCCTAGACTATACAGATTTCATGCAGGGGACCAGCGTTTCTCAAGTTGGGGGTTCTGACCCAAAAGGGAGTTGCAGGGGAGGGAGGGTCGCAGGGTCATTTTAGGGGAGCCGTGGTACTGCCCTGTTTACTCCGCGCTGCCTTCAGAGCTGGGTGGCTGGAGCGCGGCGGCGGCTGCTGAGGGCCCAGCTCTGCAGTCCGCGGCACAGAAGCGAGGGTGGCAATAGGATGGCGCGGTAGGGTATTGCCATCCCACCCCAACAACTCCCTTTTGGGTCAGGACCCCTACAATTAGAATACCATGAAATTTCAAGTTTAAATAGCTGAAATCATGAAATTTACGATTTTTTAAATCCTGCGACCATGAAATTGACCAAAGTGGACCCTGAATTTGGTAGAGCCCTACCTCTAATCCCAGAGAGATGCAACCCTTTTACACGTTACATCCTGGATTTCTCACTAACCTCAAAGCATGAATGCAATAGACCACCCGTGGCATGTTCTTCTTGTCATAGATGTCCGTTGTCTCTGGGTGAAAGATCTGTTGGCAATACAGACAGCACCCATGTAAATGCCAATTAACTTTAACTATTTAACAGCACAGTATAGCCAAGGGGCTAGGCATGGGCTGGAGACTTAAAAGACCTGGGTTTGATTCCCTGTTCTGCTCTGGCCTACTGGGTGACCCTGACCTGCCTCTCAGTTTCCCCATCTGTAAAATGGGGACAGTGATACCGACCTCCTTTGTACAGTGCTTTGAAGACCTGAAGCTGAGAAGCACTAGGGATTATTGTTACAGTCTTTGCTGACACAGAGAGCCAATGCTGATCCATGTTGGGAGCAGCTTCCACATGGTCCGCAGGTGAGAACACAATACAACAGGCCACTCTGTCGAGCATCTGGCAGGATTGTACAGCTGTCTAGTCTTCTACTGTGAATGCAGCAACCCCTTAACGCCCCCTCCTTCCACAACTTTCATCTCAGGTCGCTGCAATTCACAGATGGAGAAGGGATCGCTCATGCAGAACTCATTGCACCCTAGAAAGTCTTACGCCCCTGTTGTGCAAGAGACAAAGGAAGGTTCCTTCACATCCACGGGGTTTCAAATGAAGGTTTTATTAGCCTGACCAGCTGCCTTTGACTCCACAAGGTGTTGATGGTACACCCAGCTGGGTGGAGTCACTCGAGTGGCTCCCACTTACATGAAGGGGCTCTGTGTTTTTATCAAAGCAGAGAGGGCGTCTCATCTTTTCCGGGCTCTGCTTTTGGCCCGGACACGCTGACGCGAATACATTACCGTAGGAAGACCCAGGCGAGTCATGGCGTCACGCCAGTGGTTGATATTATCCGTGTGTCGAAAATGAAGTCCAGTTGCCTGGAAAAAAAAGAGAGGAGAGATTAAACAAGGGTTAGAATGACCCTTCCCTTATGGGTGCGTTATGCCGTTGTTGCCCACTAGGGGGTTTCTTGTGCCTTCCGTTGACGCAGCTGTTCCTGGACACTGAACCGAAGGCACCAGCTACATCTCGTTCTTCCAAACCCATTTAAGCCAGCACAGGCCACGAACAATGCGGCGGTGACCCGGATTGACAGTCAGCTCTGCATTGTCAGGGTCTGGAGCAAGCTCTCTGTCAGAAGCATCAGATCATGCCCCCCTCCGCAAAAAAAAACGAGAACCATCCATCCACCTTTGACGCAGGAGAGGCTGATGCCAGTTTCATGCGGCGCCCAGCTCACCCACAGACACAGCATAGCCAAGATTTGGCACAAGAGCCATTTGAGAGCCACAGGGGAATCAGACAGATCTTGCAGCACACACCAATACCACCACCTAGAATTGAAAGGATTCCTTATTCATGCCAAAACGCATCAAATCGAGTGAAGGCCCCAATCCTGCAAAGACTTATTTGTTTGTACGTACTGTAGTAGCACATAGAGCTTCAGTCAAGGACCAGGTGTGCTAGGCACTGTACAAACACAGAACAAAAAGATAACAATAGTCCCTACCCCCAAAAGGGCTTAACTTTAAGCACAGCAAATAACCCAGTGAAATCAACCGATCGGTTGCTGCGGGATCGGAAACTAACATGACAAGGCTTTTGTTAGTTAATTTCATTTTCTTTTTAAATGTTCTGCTTTTCAAATAATTTTACAAACATTCATATAGATCCAGATCTTCTAGCGCCTTACACACCTGAATAACTCTCACATGAGTCAAATTAATCACATGCTTAACTCTTTGCGAAATGAGAGCCTTCATTCATGCACTAGGGTTAGTTAATCTAAGAGGATATGAACGGATTCAAAAGCATCCGCCCAATAAAGATTTTCCCATTGACTTCAACAGGAACAGGATCGGCCCCTACAGCTCTGGATTCCTTATGTTTTATGCACCATCACATTACAGATCAGAAACAGACACATAGGCTGCATTCATCCAAGACAGTCTTTGATGTGTTGGAAATAGAAGGGGACTTCAAAGGACCTCATGGTCTAGAATGAATCATCAACAACCTTTAAAAAGGAGCCTTTTTTCCTGCCTTGATTCCCATTCACGCCATGCATCTGGAACAAGGTGCAGAGATTTAATAAGCAGCAGGGATGGAAGCTTACAAAAAGGGGGATGGAACCCATATGCTGCTGTGTCAGCAAAGAAATAAATTGCTATAGTAAATAAATTCCATTTTAGGTCACGTATAACAAACCTGTCACACGTCCAACACAGGCAGAATCTCCCATGCCAGTTGCATACTGTGGCTAAAATGTTGCTGTGTTAAGAGAAATTGAGCATTTAAGAGAAAGTCATTGGACCTAGCAGAGTGGATTTAGGTTAAACCTATTAGGGGCCTTAATTATCATTCATGCCAAGCTCCCCCTGGCTTTTTACAGCGCTCTGGCAGTGTAAAGTCTTCTATGCACGAATGGGTTGAAATTTGCCCCGTTACAGAAAGCTAGCAAAAAATGCCGATGTGCGTAAGGTGGGATTTTCATCAGCAGTAAAACTCCCATTGACTTGAACGGGTGCCGAGTTAGGCCAACGTGGCCAGCTTTTGAAAATCCCAGGCGTGAAGATTTTAAAGCCCCAATTTGAAGATTTAAGCGGCTCACTAGCCTCTGCACTGGCCTCTTTGAAGGGTAAATTTCTGCCTTATATGAGCGAGACAGAGTGAAAAGCTCTGAAGGCTTCCGATATAGCGCATCCTTGCATCACCACATGCGGTTATCCAGGTGAGCCACCCAGCCAGCATTTCTGAAGGGTTTTATTCTGCCACCCGTCACCACGGTAGTTGAGCATCTCAAAATCTTTCATGGCAACAGGTAGATTTCAACCAGGGATCTCCTGATCTGCAGAGAAATGGTCTTCTACTGATCTATACCTCCTCTACATGGGTTGAGAATGCTACCCAGCACTCGAGAGAGCTGGATGGGCACTAATTAACCCCCACAACACCCCTATTTAATTTGCAGAGGGATGGATTTTATTCAGATTATTAAGTGAATGTAGGATGGTCAGTTTCATTCATGCCTCTGATCAGTTTCACTTCCAGCATTTCCTTCAGAGAGGATCTGGTTTGCACAAGTGCTGAGCAACTGCAGGTCCCGTCAGCTCCAGTTGACGTTGTAGGTGCCAGCAGCTTAAGGTATTTGCCCAAAGCCACACAACAAGCCAGGATTGGAACCCAGGTCTCCAATCTCAAACTCACTCCCTCTAACCCAAGCAAATCTCTTCACCCGACTCCTTTACCTTGTAGCGCATCTGCTCACGGTCATAAATTTTTTTCAGTGGGACAACGTCTGGTGCAAAGCAGTGTCCCAGCTTGGCGAGGATGACCCCGTTCCGTAAGCTCTCCTCCAGCTCCGTAGGGGAGGCCAGCTCCTCATTCAAACAAGCCTCCATCCATCTGGCACAAAAGACGGAAAACCAGTTAGGGAGACCGTTGTTTTTACAAGACCAGTATGCTGCTACCATGTCAAGTGCAGGTCTCCCACCAACCCTACGGGGCATTCCAGACACAGCATAGCCACGGGGTTGGGCTTCAGGATACTGAGATGTGTAGTGATGAAAATATTTTGCATCTGTTCAAATAGTGCTTCTTCCTCCTGGGTTTCTGCATTTTACAGACAGGAGACAGCAAGGCACAAAGTGGAAAGGGCAGCAGTCAGGACTAAAATCCACTTGCCCCTGAGCCCATGCTCAAAGCCCTTTGCTTCCACTTATTGTTTGCTGGTAGTCTAACAACGCTGCCTCCGGCTTGTCAGGCTGGCCACCCTTCATTCACAGACAAAAAGAAGTGTCATTCCCCGCCTTTACATATATTATAAGAGTCAGAGTAAAAAAAAGGCATTGTTGATAGCTATAAGCCTATGTAGTTGGTGTGTGTGTGTGTGTTTTGAGAGACTGACAGTGAAGACAACCTTGAAGGGTCAGGGCGCGCAAGATTGTCTTTGCTTTAGATTGTAAGCAGTTTTCAGTTACTCCTCCCGACTCCCCCCCACCCCCACTGCCTTTCATGTCTCCCCCCGTTCCCCCCCGGGGTCACGACCCACTTGTCAAGAAACACAGATCAGCCCATGCATGCCAACACTGGGGGAAATGGTGTTTTAAGATCCAGACTCCTCAAGGAGCGACTTAAAGTCCCAACTGGTGTTTGATTTAGAAGGCAAAACCTGTTATACAGGAGACAGTTAAGCTAGGTCAATATAACCCCGACAGGGCCCCTCTAATTAATCAGTCCTATTGGAATGCTCTCTCACCGTTTCGCTTCCTCTAAGCGACAGAGATATTGATAGGCGACATTCTGTCTCCTCTGCTCATCCATCTCATCGGCAGTGAGACGCTCATCTGGACAATTCAAGAGAGACGATGCCAGGTCAAGCGCAGACAAGAGTTTAGGTTTTGTTAAAAATCAGCAGCAGCAGCATCATAATTTGAATTAAAATATTTCAATTAAGATTTCATAAAACTTAGTAAAAATATTCCCCGGATTTCCAATGCCAGCAGCCTCTCAGCATCTCCTGCATTGTTTTTAGCACATATTTTGTACCACTGGAAATGCAAGACAGAGCCACAGCATTGGTGGTGAAGGACAATTTTTTAAAACTGTTGGTTGCAATAAGCAAAAGGCGTTTGCCAAAAATCAGAGTTTTTAAAATATGGTTTTCTAACCGCACTCTCCCATTTCAGCTCTTAGATTTATGCAAAATTTATGCAAAATTACTTTTTAATATCCATAACAGTATGAATTTTATGTTTTGGTGGCCACAGCAGCAGACTCTGCCCCAGTCCCATGTCCTGCCTAGCTGAGTGTTAACAGAAATTAAAATGAACAAGCTTCTATCCCCACCATGGAAAATACCAACTCATAGACTTTAAGGTCAGAAGGGACAATTATGATCATCTAGTCTGACCTCCTGCACAACGCAGGACACAGAATCTCAGCCACCCACTCCTGTAACAAACCCCTGACCTATGTCTGAGCTACTGAAGTCCTCAACTCGTGGTTTAAAGACTTTGAGGTGCAGAGAATCCTCCAGCAAGTGACCCGTGCCCCACGCTGCAGAAGAAGGCAAGAAAACCCCCAGGGCCTCTACCAATCTGCCCTGGAGGAAAATTCCTTCCTGACCCCAAATATGGTGATGGGCTAAACCCTGCGCATGTGGGCAAGACTCAACAGCCAGACACCCAAGAAAGAATTCTCTGTAGTAACTCAGATCCCACCCTAACTAGTGTCCCATCACAGGCCATTGGGCATATTTACCGCTAATAGTCAAAGATCAATTAATTGCCAAAATTAGGCTACCCCATCATATCATCCCTTCCATAAATTTATCAAGCTTAGTCTTGAAGCCAGATATGTCTTTTGCCTCCACTCCTCTTGGGAGGCTGTTCCAGAACTTCACTCCTCTGATGGTTAGAAACCTTCGTCTAATTTCAAGTCTAAACTTCCTGATGGCCAGTTTATATCCATTTGTTCTTGTGTCCACATTGGTACTGAGTTTAAATAGTTCCTCTCCCTCCCTGATATTTATCCCTCTGATATATTTAGTGAGGTCATCTAGGGTTATAAATCACAAGCTGGGTGAGGCAATGCCCACACTGCAGAGAACAGTTGTACATTGCTAGAAGGGGGAAGGACTATCACATGACTTAATAACCCTTTCCATTTAAGGGCTACTATGCTCTGGCTGGCTACTTTCTTTTTTACATGTAAACAGATCTGGTTTTCTCTTCCCTTGCTGCATGGCCAGCCAAAAGAGAGAGCATGAGCTGGGTTAACAAGTCCCTGTTGTACTCAGTCCATAGGTCATATTTAAAATGTCTTCAGCCAGATTTGTATTTTTTGCATTCACACACGCCTTGTGTGTTCAAATCTTCCCAGAGACAAAATCAGACACACACACACACACTCTAAGGTCAGGGTTTTGCCATATGCCCTAGAAATCTTGCTAGCCCTCCCCCCCACCCCCCGTCTCCTGCTGTGTATTGGCTACCATCTGAAAGGGCTCTGCCCTCACTGACATCCTACCCATAAAATATTACCCCTACCCCAACGCTCCTCTCTTTTTGGCCCCATTTCCATAGTATCCAAGCACCTCACAATACTTATTCTCTCATCACCCCTGTAGAGTGCTATTGTCCCCATTTTACAGATAGGGAAAACGGAGGCTCAGAGCAACTAAGTGACTTGCCCAAGGTCACACAGGGGGTATGTGGCAGAGGAAGGAGTTGACCATGGGTGTCCCAAGTTCTAGACTGACCACTAGATCATCGCCTGACTCTAAGGAGAAACAGGAATCACCCAACAAGACCCACAGACTGTACCCTAACTGGCAACTGTCAGTCTGTCTGTCCATCTCAGGGCCAGCACTCTTTCCCACACCCCCAGATTCCTTTCTAATTGTCCATTCTGGATGCTGTTTATCCTGTCAGCTCTCTCAAGCCCTGTCCACACACCATGGGCTGGCTGGTCCAAACCCACCTCTCTGCCGGATCCCAGCCTGCCTGTCCATCCTCTGGCACCAATCCCTGCAGCACCCCAATTATCTGTGCCCTGTCTACAGTCAGGTCACTGGTCCCTCCCCCACTGGTGTGTCTGCCCCCTCCTGCACACCCAGACCTGTCCCCTGTCTGCCCTACGGTCGGGACCACACATCCCTACACCCATCGGTTCCCCCACCCCATTGTCTGCCCCCACTTGTCTGCACCCACCAGCCGCTCCCCTGTGTCTGTCTGTCTGCCCCTTCCACCACACCCCTTCCTGTCTGCCCCCCTGTCCATCAGCCTGGCTGCTTGTCCCCTCTCCTCCCCTGCCCCACGCCAATGTCTGCCCATTGCCCCTCCAGCAACTCCCCACAAGTGCTGTCCATCAGTCTGTCCCCAGGCCTGTCTGTCCCCTTCCACCCACCCCTGTCTACAGCCCCCCACTGCTCCCGTCCATCAGCCTGGCTGCTTGTCCGTCCCCCCTCCGCCAATGTCAGTCTGTCCCCCTGCTCCGGTCGGTCGGTCCGTCCGTCTCTCCCCTGCCCGCCCGGTCTCACTCACAGCCCGCCCGGGCCGGCCCGGACTCGGCCGCCGGCTCCATCCCGCGGCGCTCGGCTCCGCCCGGCTCGGGAGTCGGGATTTGAATCTCCCGCCGCCTCCGGTCCTCCCCCGCCAGCTGCTCCGGGACACGTGGCTGCGCCCGGGGGAGGCTGGGGGATGTAGTCCTGGGGGGCGGGGCACAAAGGGGGGAGGGGTTCCCCGGGCACAGGGGGGTTCTCTGGGCACTGAGCACTGCCAAGGGGGGGGGGTTCCCTGGACACAGGGGGGTTCCCTGGGCACAGAGGCAGGCGGGGGTTCCCTGGACACAGAGGGGTTCCCTAGGCACAGCTGGGGGGGTTCCCCTGGACACAGGGGGGTTCCCTGGACACAGAGGGGTGGGGAGTTCCCCTGGACACAGAGGGGTTCCCTAGGCACAGCTGGGGGGTTCCCCTGGACACAGGGGGGTTCCCTGGACACAGAGGGGTGGGGAGTTCCCCTGGACACAGAGGGGTTCCCTAGGCACAGCTGGGGGGGGTTCCCCTGGACACAGTAGGGTAGGGAGTTCCCCTGGACACAGGGGGGTTCCCCTGGACAGGGCGGTCCCGGGGCACAGCTTGGGGGTACCCAGGGCACTGGGTACAGCCTGGGGGTGGGGGTAGTTTTGCAGTCCCCAACCCCCCCCCCCCCCAGGGGCTCATCTGCTGCCTGGCTCCATAAACCAGGCTCCAAATCTACCCCTTTCCCCACTGCACCTCCCTGCCCCATGCACCGCAGCCAGGGGCCCATAGGATATGTGAGGAGGGGAGAGGGGGAAGTGCTAGAAAGGGGCAAAGAGACTGTTCCAACCCCTGCTCTCAGTAGCCCTATAGCATGTAGGGAATGGGGGGGCTGTCTCTCCAGGGCAGGCCGGGTGGAGCAGCTTGCATAATGCAGCTGCTGCCACTGCATCTCTCACTGGCATTTGAGTCCCCTGCAAAACAGCCCTTACATTAGTGGGGAATAGAGACCTCGCTCTCCTCTAACATCTGCACCCCTAATATAAAGCAACAGAGAAGAAGCAGGTCTAGTGGCTAGACCAGGAAGAATGGGCAGCAGGACTTCCAGCCCCACCTGTGGGAGAGTGGGGTCTAGTGGCTAGAGCAGGGGGCTTGAGAGTCAGGACTCCTGGATTCTGGGACTGACTCACTATGTGAGTTTGGGCAATTCTCTTCCCCTTTCTGTGCCTCAGTTTCCCCATCTGTGAAATGGGAAGGACGAGAGGGTGCCAAAGCCACTTAATTCTTCGAAGCTGTCACTAATGCTGCGCCCACTCAGAAGCTTGCAGGGACGGAGCTGAAACATGGGCCCCCTCTCTTCTAAGCGCACAGACCCCTGCCACTTGAACTACAAGAGAATCTTCATTAGCTTTTAGCAGCGTAGGACCTGTGACACACAGCTGAGCCCTTCTGATTCCACCCAGTAGAGGGGCAGCAGACCGCACATGCTAGCCAGTTCCTTGCAGCCGTCACCTACCTCCCAGGGGTGTTGTGAGGTTTAATTAATTAATGACTAAGGAGCACAAGTGAGAATGGCAGGGTGTTATGCTCACTCTCTTAATACACCCTAAAGGGCTCCGATGTTGTCAGGGTTATAATGGAGGCAGGTGATTGTGCTGCTTTGTCAGGTTGTTTTGTGCTGTTCATGCAACCATGACCTGGAACAATGCAGAATGCAGGGCTAGATCCATCCCTGGGGTTGATTCCACTGGAGCCCTGGGAGTTACACCAGGGCTAACTCTGGCCTGTGATTCTTTGTGTCTACTTGGAAAGGGGCCTGTCTTCCGCACCTGTCAGGCATCATGTCCCTATCTGAATGAGCTTGAGCAAGGAGTTGGCCTCCTTTGTTTTACAAAACAGCCTGCAAAAGCCACTAATTAAGTGACCCATGCTAATCCTGTTGGCTTGCACACTAAATTACCCGGCAGCTCCAAGGGCTGTGGGTATATCCCTAACCCCCACACACCCTGCCCAGTGCTGGAAGTCAGGATGCCAAAACTAAAGGAAGGAGAAGAGAATAGCCCTACAATTAGACTGAGAGACAGTGTGGTCCAGTGGCCTGGGGCTCCGGAGATTTAGGGGTCTGTTCCTGACTCTGCAAAAGAAAAGGAGGACTTGTGGCACCTTAGAGACTAACCAATTTATTTGAGCATAAGCTTTCGTGATCTACAGCTCATTTCATCGCATCCGATGAAGTGAGCTGTAGCTCACGAAAGCTTATGCTCAAATAAATGGGTTAGTCTCTAAGGTGCCACAAGTCCTCCTTTTCTTTTTGCAAATACAGACTAACACGGCTGTTACTCTGATTCCTGACTCTGCCACTGACTTGCTGGGTGACCTTGGCCAACTCACTGCAGCTCTGTGCCTCAGTTTCCACACCAACCTTTTGTCTTCTCTCATAGAGTGTAAGCTCTTTGATTCAGGAACCTGTCGCTCACTGTGTTTACAGACAGCACTGTGCTTTGCCCAGTGGGGCCCTGATTTCAGATGGAGCCTCTACGTGCTAATGTAATACAAATGATCACAGAGCTCGGCCGTTGTGCAAATCTCTTAATGCCCTTTGATGGTGGCTGAAGACAGAACTATGCAGCGGATGGTGTCTCAGGAGAAGAGCTACCAGCTCCCTTCCAGTGGCACCAGAATAATAGCCAGACCCAGCTGAAACTCCCATACAAATGCCAGGGAAGCAGCTCCTGATGGCAAATCCGTTGCTTATGTGCCGTGAGTTTCGATGGGTCGCAGCAATCCACAAAACCAGCCACCTCATTTTTACTAACGGGCTCCTTTGCTGGCTCCAAGACTGAATGGGTCATGAAGAGCCAACTGCGGGGGAAGCGATACCAGGGCTGTCCCCCTTCTGTGAATAAAGAGGACTCTAGTCGCCAGGACGCTTGATCAGGCACCTTCCACCTGTGCTCCATTCACCCAATTTTTATTCCTTTAAAATCCATAAAGTGTGATTCATAAACACCCACCCTAACCAAGAGCCCTGAGAGGCTGATTTAACCATCCATCAGGTGACATGCCCCAGCAGGGGAGGGCCCAGCATTATTGAAGCCGGTTGCCATGGGGCGGCCCAATGTGTCTCAAGCAATCGGAAGGAGATTGAGAAGAAACCAAACCCCTAAGTGCCATCATCGGAAAGCATTCCCGAGAGGAAGAACCCCAGAGCTCCCTAGAACCATGCATGCGCACCTGCCTGGGTTTTGTGCATTTCCTTAGCGCTTTCTTAACACTCAGAGGCACGAGCAGCCTGTTGCAGGCTTGAGTGCAATTCACAGGGAGCTGGTCTGATCAGAGCACGCAGCTCCAACTTTCTGGTGTGTTGCAAGGTTGGGCATTGAAGCAGCCTGGCCCAAGGATGATTTCACGGAGCCTTAGACATTCCTGAGCACCATTCAGGGTGCTTCTTTGAGACCACCTGCATTTTGGCATAAGAACCGTGATCTGCACCTGCCATCTAAGATCTTTGACACGCTCTGCAAACAATCATGAAACATTAGGTAAGTAATGTTATGGATTATTCCTGGTTTGCAGCTGGGAAAACTGAGGCTCAGAGCGGGAGATTTTTCATGGCATTTAGGCACCTAAATCCAATGGGAGTTGTGTCTTTGAAAATCTACCCCCACAAAGTTAAGTGACTCACCCAGTGTCACCTGGCAAGTCAGTGGCAGATGCAGGACTATTAACCTGCAGGCTATATTCCCTCAGTTACTGTGCCATAAGCTACACCCCTCCTCTTGTCTTCCACAGGCCCTCCATGTCCCCTCCTCACCCCGATTCAAATAGGAATCTGCAGAGGGAGCAGAAAGATTAAGGAACTCAGAATGTTGATGTTCTGTATAATTAGGGCTCTGATTCCCATTTACACTAAGGCCCCTTTACATCACTTTGGCAGTGTAAAGAGTTGCACCCACTTTAAGCCCCTTCACGCTGCCAGAGCAGTGTAAAGGAGCTGTAATGAGAATGAGAATCAGGCCCAGAACAGAGTGTAAACAGATACCGCTGTCTCTCCATTTGAGTCTCCATCTAGCTAAACTAGGTATATTTAGTTTTTTTAATTGATCTTCCAGCCCCTTAAACGCTGTTGTTAACTCCACTTTGACATGTTTCCCAATCACCCTGGTACCTGAGCCCTGCCAGGTCAGTATGATTCTTGCAGGTCTGATCGAAATTTTAAAAGCATCAAAGTCAGGACGTCCCTGGAGCCACCCTTGCTCAGCTACGCCACACATGGGTAGGCAGGAAATGCTAACACAGCAACCAGTGATCCAAGATTCAATGCACGGATAACTCAGCTGTGCTGTAAACTCTGGTGATTTAGCAGCAGTAAGACTAACCCCAAGGGTTCAAAAGCCTCCCCCGAAATCATGAGATTTTAAATAATAATACAATTTAGGCTCTTTTTATTTTCCTTTTGGACTTTTTTTTTAATAGTCTCTAGGGCTGTGCCCAGGTCATGTTTTCAAGCTTTTTCTCTTCAACTGTAAGATCTAGAAACTTAATTATTTTTGAAAAAATGAAAGCTGAGCTTGTCATGTCATCCCCTGACTCTAGGAGCAGGGGCTTTCAGAAATACATCAAGTATCCCAGGGGCTGCATTTGGCCCCATATGCAGCAGAGGCAGCATGGTGAATGGCAAAATATTAGCCATCATGGCTAGGAACTTAGGAATTGATCAGACCAGGGGGTCCATCTAGGCCACTATCCTGTCTCGAACACCAACAGCTTTAGAGGAAACCAGCAGAAGGCTGCTATGGGATAGTCCCTCCTTCGCACCACGACCCCAGGCCTGGGAAAAATTCCTCTCATCTCCCATGAATTAGACGTTGGCTGCACTTGGAGCTTGGTGTTGAATCTGCACCCTGTATACATCAATGGTTGGATATTAGGAAAAAAAATTTCACTAGGCGGGTGGTGAAGCACTGGAATGGGTTACCTAGGGAGGTGATGGAATCTCCTTCCTTTGAGGTTTTTAAGGTCAGGCTTGACAAAGCCCTGGCGGGGATGATTTAGTTGGGGATTGGCCCTGCTTTGAGCAGGGGGTTG